CTCCCATTCCCTTTAAAAGCCAGTTGCGCTCGCACTATGGCGGATTCGTATTTACATGGCAGAATTTGCAAGCGGAAGGAAAGGAGTAAACGGATCTGCTTGTGAGCGAGGTTAAAGCGTGCGAGCAGACCATCTGACTACGGGACAAAGTGTACGTGCGTTGTGTGCTAGACTTTAGACAGGGTTGGAGTTTGTCAATGGTGCAGTCTATTTCAGTTTCCTCAAAACAGCAACTCACCAATAGGGTTGGGTATCGAGAATCGAGTATCGATTGGAACCGAGACTAACTTTTCGTTTTTCCCGGAATCGTTCAAAAGTTCAAATTTCGATTCCTAGTTTCGATATTCACAGTCCGCCGAGCGGAAGAAGAAACCGCTGAACAACACCAACGAAGAAGGGTCTACCGGAAGTGTTGGCAGAACCACGCGAGTCGAACATGAGTATCTTACGTCGGCGGTCCAAAGTGTGGCTTCACTTTTCTAAAAAATAACGAAATCTCTGCAAAATGCAAAATTTGTGACAAAAGGAGAATTTTTACAGAAGGAGTATTTCCTTCAGAAAGGCCGTTGGTTAGCAAGGTTAGCTAAACTTTTTTGACCCTGCCTCTTAAAAGAATCGGAATCGAGAATCGTTAGGAACCGGAATCGAAACAAGGAATCGGAATCGTTCAAATTCAAACGATACCCAACCCTACTCACCAATGATGCTCCTAAACAAACCTCGTACATTTGCCATTTAAACAACGTGGCGGAGGACGTGAAAATGATAACTGCGTCGGGCTGAAACTAGCGAAACGCACTTGCATCAGTTGTGCCAGATGTATGATAGGGCCCTTAGACTTCACTATGGAACTGGTTAATACGTTTTTTTTACTTATGAATTTGTTTTATGCACCATTGTATATGTATGTAAGTTGTAGGAGAAAATATGTAAAATCCTACAGATATATGAGCTGTTGGAGGGAAATAAAATTACATTAGTATAAAAACTTTGACTGTGAACATAAGGTAGCTACAACTATTATGCAATTAAATCTCAACATAATTATGCACTATTATGCGATTAAATATCAAAATAATTAATATAGCATACATTTCAGTTAAGCGCGATCTGCACATCTGAGTAGACTTGCTCCCTCGGTCAAAATCGAGGAGACGAGGGTCTGTCCATATAAACTTCCCTCGTTCACTTTACGAAGTGGAACAAACTTCAAAATAGCGGCAGGGATTTCCCAAAGAAGAAGTGCTATGGGAGGTTTGTGAGTGCATGTTTAAAAGTGGAGTGTGAATCTGTGAATAGGAGAAAGTGCAATATGGCGGAACAAGTCCCGCCTTCTAAAGAAAAGAGCCAATTGCAGATGAGTAAAGTCATTGCATCACTACGGCCGCAGTTAGAAGCTCCGGTTACTGAGAAGTGCTTTTTTTGTTGTTCTCAAAAGCATACAAATGTTACACCTGCAAGAAAAATAAATGTTAGTTATGATTAATTAAAAATTGCCTTCACAATGTTAATCCAGGAACATGTCAAAATCACGGCGACCAATCAAATCCCCTCAGTCTGTGTGGAAGTTCACAGAGAGTTTAGTCAGACCTGTGAGTGCACAAGACATACGCAGCGGTTCTTTATTTCACTGGTTGTCATGGAGATAGCATTGCTTAAGTGGACTGAATCTACGCCATCTCACCTTCCAATCAAACTGACGACAGTTCTTTTCACAAATGTAAAGTAGCTACTATTTCAGACCGATGTATAAACAGCATTATATCTAACGGATGATGGAAAAAATACAGCTGTAAGGTGTTTTTTTTTTCTCAGGAGTTGCTTCCTGTTTGGTAGAAGCATTGAAAAACATTTTATGTGTGGCTACTAGAAAGGTAAAGTATCTCTAACAGAAATTTGGAGTCTCTACAGTGAAGCAATACTTAAAATTAACAAAAACTACTAACAACAGCAGCAGCATCACTTCTATACTCATAACTGAATGCGGGTGATGCACAAGGGTTAATCTCATGAAACCGGTTGGGTAATGTTCATCCCAAAATTAAAAGAAATAATTAGCATATATTTTGCATTATGTTTTGCATTAAGAAAATTAAGCACATTTGCATTATTATATCGGAAATTTGCATTATTTTTCTATAACAATAGAGCACATTTAAAGTCTCATTATGGTAATATTTATACATCAGGTTTAATTTACCGCCTTTAATATATTTTTATATAAAAAAGATAGAAAACATTGTACTACAATTTTCTATTACTGTAGTACAAAATGACTGTTTTCATTAGAATAACCATTAAGAATGAGGATTTAAAAACAAAACAAAAACCAGCAGATGGAGGGATGGAATGGATGGATAGATGGACAGATAGATGGATAGATGAATAGATGATGGATTGATGGATGGATAGTTGGATAGATCGATAGATGAATGGTGGATTGATGGATAGATGGATAGATGGTGGATTGATTGATAGATGAATTGATGGATAGATGGATGGTGGATTGATGGATAAATGGTGGATAGATAGATAGATGGATTGATGGATAGATGGTGGATTGATGGATGGATAGATGGATAGATGATTGATGGATAGATAGATAGATGGATTGATGGATAGATGGTGGATTGATGGATGAATAGATGGATTGATGGATGGATAGATGGATTGTTGGATAGATGGATTGATCGATAGATGGATAGATGAATTGATGAAAGGTAGATTGATGGATAGATGGATAGATGGTGGATTGATGGATGGATGGATGGATAGATGGATTGTTGGATAGATGGATAGATGGATTGATGAATTGATGGATAGATGGATGGTGGATTGATGGATAAATGGTGGATAGATAGATAGATGGATTGATGGATGGATAGATGGATAGATGATTGATGGATAGATAGATAGATAGATAGATAGATAGATGGATAGATGGATAGATGGATTGATGGTGGATTGATGGATGAATAGATGGATAGATGGATTGTTGGATAGATGGATTGATCGATAGATGGATAGATGAATTGATGAAAAGTAGATTGATGGATAGATGGATAGATGGTGGATTGATGGATGGATAGATGGATGGATAGATGGATTGATGGATAGATGGATTGATGAATTGATGAATGGTGGATAGATGGATAGATAAATTGATGGATAGATGGATAGATGGATAGATAGATAGATAGATAGATAGATAGATAGATAGATAGATAGATAGATAGATAGATAGATAGATAGATGGATTGATGGATAGATCGATAGATGGTGGATTGATGGATAGATGGATTGATGGTGGAATGATGGATAGATGGATTGATAAATTGATGGATTGATGGTGGAATGATGGATAGATGGATTGATAAATTGATGGATAGATGGTGGATTGATGGATAAATGGTGGATAGATAGATAGATGGATTGATGGATAGATGGATAGATGGATAGATAGATAGATAGATAGATAGATAGATAGATAGATAGATAGATAGATAGATAGATAGATAGATAGATAGATAGATAGATAGATAGATAGATGGATTGATGGATAGATCGATAGATGGTGGATTGATGGATAGATGGATTGATGGTGGAATGATGGATAGATGGATTGATAAATTGATGGATTGATGAATTGATGGATAGATGGTGGATTGATGGATAGATAGATAGATAGATTGATGATGGTGGATTGATGGATAGATAAGACGGATAGATGGATTGATAGACAGTTAGAGAGATTCACTCTAGGCCCTCCTTAGAAAGAATATTGCCGCTGTGGCCCCTCAAAATCTTACAAAATTGCTCGCTTCAATCGTTTCTAAGTCCCTTCTCTCAATCCTGAAAGGGTCCAAATGTGTGTCTGAAGTTTTTCTAAATCAAGGTTATTTTAAGTCTTGATGTTTTCCTGCTTTTCTCTCTCTCTCTCTCTCTCTCTCTCTCTCTCTCTCTCTCTCTCTCTCTCTCTCTCCCTGACTGTTTCTCCTCTCAGCATGTGAATAATATGAACACCTCTCATTGTCGCAGATCTGATCAACGTCATGCCTGCAATACAAGCGCACTCAAAACGCATTTACACTGAAGACAGACAGGCAGCTGCACATAACCAACTTCAGCCTCTATCCTCCAAAACTCGGTTTGAGATTGTACGGTAAGAAATTGTTTTTTTCTCTTCTTTAACCATATACCTTTGCATTAAGTATGTGTAATAAAGTAGCATTAGACATCAATTAATGAAACGAGCTGCTTCTGATGAATACACCTTTCATTTATCCCAAACGCAAACTGCAAAGAGAGAACATGTTCTTCCCACAAAGTTGATGGCACTGAATAAAGGTTTGCTTAATGCATGGTTAGATCTATTTTCATTTGTTTCAGTGAGAACATTCATTGCCTTGATTATAATAGAAACACTTTGCAACCTCTTCAAAATCTCAAGTGCATTCTGAATATGCCGTTTCATATACCATCTTTCCATGTACATTACAAAGGCTTGAAGCGTAATGACAAAAATGACAATTTTTGCTCTTTTAATTTACACTGAAATGCAGAACAGCTGGACAGGATTTTTTCTGTTAAAGGCCACTTTACTCTTTCTAAGTGGATCTTCTCTCCCTGCTCCCAGTAGAGCTGAGCAGAACATCGCTGACATGCTCAAATCACCGCTACGCGAAGCAATCGTCATTTCCTCCATGGTAACAGTGTTCAAGCTGCTCATGGCAACTTGCTCAAGCCTTGTATTCACATAAAGGAAATGCACAATGGCACTCGGTTCCACTGACAGAGTTGTTGCTTTGATTTTAACATCATGCGAATGTGATTATAGTCAGCATGAATTTATATTTGAGATTCGAGACGTCGTTTGAGAGGCAAAGCATTGCATTTTAGGGGATTTTTTTTTTTTAAATATAGAAATAAGGTGCTCTAATTAATACATTTTGCCCTTAATAATAAATTTTGATATTCATATCACGTTGACTGAAAAATACATATAAAAGGACTTCCAGTTGAGAAGCATGGAAGCTGTACTGATGTCTGGAAGTGATTGTTTTCAACATTGTGATTCAAAAGGCCAGATTCTGAGAATAGTTTGCAAAAGCAAACAAATTTTAAATGGTTTAAGCAAAACTGATTGTAAGGAGACTTTTCTTTATAATGCATTTCTAGGACGAAGCTTATAGAGTACAGTATCTATACTCTCTTTACATAAGCACCACTAACTGTCTCTGTAATTGACTTTAAGGGTATGAAAGGACACTTGATAAACCCCCATCAGAGGGATGATGTACTGCAGGCTCTGAGAAAGTAACACCAAGGACAGCGAACACAATGGCCTTTAGAAAGATTGCAGTTGCTGAAGAAAGCGTGAGGGAGGCTGAGCTCTGCGCTCATGCTGAAAAGGACGGCACCGTAAAGAATGTTGTCTGGCGGGGATGGCAAACAATAAAGCCAAGGTCTCTGCTTCGGTTTATTGAATTTAGCTTCTCAAAAAAAAAAAAAAGTAGTGGAGCTGTAATTCTACAGAAAGAGTGCGTGTTGCCGAGCAAGGCTGGATTAAAAAAAAAAAAAAAAAAAACGTAGCAAAGTGGAAAGTGCATTTGGCTCCATTTTATTATTTTGCAGCATGTGTGCAACCAAATCAAGCTATGCTCAATGCTATGCATTTAGCACATTTTTCAAGAGGAAAGTGTTATACAGCCTACTGTATCATATTTGATATGTACATTTCTAAGGCCTCTAAATGTCAAATAAAGGCCAAAATGTTACTGAAATACTTGCACACATCCACTACATGCCTTCTGTTGTCTGATTGACATTTTATACATGCCTTTTTGACTGCATTTAGATTATTATTCCGTTTTCAGAGTTGGGCCTCTGAATAAAACAGTTTTTTCCCCTTCATATTCTCACTATCATTCGGTACTATAAGAGTCTTAAAGGAGTAGTTCACTTTTCAAAAAACTTTTGCTGATAATTCACTCACCCCCATGTCATCCAAGATGTCCATGTCTTTCTTTTTTATCAGTCGAAAAGAAATGAAGGTTTTTGATGAAAACATTCCAGGATTTTCTCCATATAATGGACTTCAATGGGAACCAAACGGTTCAAGGTCCAAAAAACACTATCAGTGCAAACTGCAAACTGTTCAAAGGGCTTTTAAAAGGGCTTCATCAAAATGAATGAATCTGGTTAGTCATTTGGTTAATTCAACGAACGAATTGACTCGGAAAAAGATTTGTTCATTTTGATGAATGAGTTCGAACAGGAGAGTCACAATCATGCGTCACAAAACAGAGCAAGGCGAGCATTTGTGCTTATAAAACTTAAACTTTGTTATTTATTTAATAAATGAGTGATCGTTTTGCTTGATAAGACCCTTATTCGTCGTCTGAAATCGTTTAAAGCCCTTTGAACAGTTTGCAGTTTGTACTGAAACCGTCTTTTGGACCTTGAACTGTTTGGACCCCATTGAAGTCCATTATATGGAGAAAATCCTGGAATGTTTATCAAAAACTTTAATTTCTTTTCGACTGAAGAAAGAAAGATATCTTGGATAAATTATCAGCAAAAGTTTTTTGAAAAGTGAAGAACTCCTTTAAAAGCGTGATATATTTTTTTATCTAAAGGTTCCGTTCCATTTCGAAAAACTCGATTTCTCACATTCTTCTGGCTGATCTTGTTCACAGGTTTGTCATGGCAGCATCCGTGATCCGCAGGTGTGAGTCACAGTGAAAGAGGTGAAGATGGAAAGTCCACAAGTGGTTGACAGCAACTCCTTGCTCAAGGCTGTCTACTTGGGTCGTCTCCGTCTCACACGACTACTCCTGGAAGGCGGCGCTTACATAAACGAGAGCAACGAGTGTGGCGAAACACCCCTGATGATCGCCTGCAGGAGCAGGCATACGGACCACCTAAGTGTTTCGAAGGTTAAAATGGTGGGGTACCTGCTTGAAAGTGGAGCTGACCCGAACATCCAGGATAAGAGTGGGAAGACTGCTTTAATGCACACCTGCTTGGAGCAAGCTGGTCCTGAGGTGGTGGCTTTGCTCTTGGGTAGCGGAGCGGACCCATGTCTCGAGGACCACACTGGTTCTTCGGCTCTGATATACGCCATCAATGCCAGCGATGAAGAAACTCTTAAAATGTTGATAGATGCATGCAAAGCCAGAGGAAAAGAAGTTATCATCATCACCCCTGATAAACTTGCATGTGGAAGGCAAATGGCAAAACAGTATCTATCCATTCCTCCACTTGCAATGATGGAACAATGGGACAATCAAAACTCCACCATCATTCCCTGTGCTTCTCCATCCGATATTCTCCTCAGTACATCTCCACATGGGACTCTTTCGTCTAGTCCTACAGAGCATATGTTTTCCTTCCAGGACTTACAAAGCATGACGAATTCTCAGCCAACCTCCCCATCCCACCAGGCTCCCCTGCACAGTCGAGTGAGCAAACTCCACAATCTCCAAAGGTTACACTCCGAGCCTTGGCTAAAAATCCCGCAGTCTCTCCTGGCCCAACAGCACGCCAAAACCACCTCGGCTACGGAGGAACTCCCGGACATCACACTCGAAGAGGAGTTGACTTTCAAAATGAAGAGATTGGCTTTCGGTAATACACCGCTATCCCGTCATTCCAGTGTTGATTTGAAGGAAGCCAGTCAAACTCTAAGTCGGGGAAGCAATTGTGAAGGTCTAAGACCGGAAGGAGCACTGTGCCGAAACATGTCCTTTGATAGCTTATCGTCCTTGCACTCTTTATCCCATCCCAATCTTCATAGCAAAAGCAGCGTGGAAGCTTTACATGCTGAAAAGGATCCGGGCAAATCCCTGCCAAATTTGGCTGTATCCAGTCTCCGCAACATCATCCAGAGAAGGCAACTAGGAATGGACCACTACAGCTCGGATTCTCAACTCTCGGTGAGGCTTGCCAACTCACCGGAAGACCGTAAAGGACATCTGGAGAAGAGAAAGCTTGCTAACTCACGTTCTCCTACCTTGGTAGGCTCAAGGGAATCTCTTGAGAGCCCTTCGTTGACGCACATGCACAGGAGGAATCCGATTAGCTACGAGCGTCGGGGCTCTGGGGCGCTTTTGGATCCCATTTCCCATCCTCGAGCTGGTTTCCTCCCTCCTCTAAACCAGCACGCTCTGATCCCAAACATCACTGGAAGTGTAAATTCAAGCAGCATTGGCTCCAGCAACAAAGCAGTTTGTGGCGTAGCAGCAGGGACGAAGCCTTGCATACCCTCGGCTCCTGCAGGTTTTCCTAAGGATCTCAAGACTAGGAGGATGCTGCTAAGAAGACACTCAATGCAAACTGAACAGCTTAAGCGGGTTGGTGACTTCACAGAGATTTTTGGACACTGAATGGTTACTGAACAGTTTGCGAGAAAGGCACCAATTTGCACTGACAATAATTCATTGCTGGTTGGTGAAACTGAACAAATATCATCAATAATCTTGCATCTAAGCTAAAATGAACAACTTCAACCGTGCATCCTTAAGGTATACTCCACTTTTTTTGGAAATAGACTCATTTTACAACTCCCCCAGAGTTAAACTGTTGAGTTTTACCGTTTTTGAATCCATTCAGCCGATATCCCGTTCTGGCAGTACACTTTTAGCTTAGCTTAGCATACATAATTGAAGTGCGCAAGACCATTAGCATTTCTCAAAAAAAGACCAAAGTGTTTAGATATTTTACCTATTTAAAACTTGACTCTTCTGTAGTTACATCGTGCACTAAGACAATGTAAAGTTGCGATTTTCTATGCTGATATGACTAGGAACTATACTCTCATTCCTGCGTAATAATCAAGAAACTTCACTGTCGTACCATGAGTGCAGCATGCGTAATGTTATGACCCAGCGCCTAAAAATAGTTCCCAGCTTCCAACATGACCGGGACTGCGCTCATGATACGGCAGTAAAGTTTCTTGATTATTACTCAGGAATGAGAGTGTAGATCCAAACCATATCAGCCTAGAAAATCGCAACTTTACATTTTTCGTCGGCCTTAGTGCACGATGTAACTCAAGTTTTAAATAGGAAAAATATCGAAACAATTTGGTCATTTTATTTAGAGAAATGCTAATGGTCTTGTGCACTTCAATTATGTATGCTAAGCTAAGCTAAAACCGGAGATCGGCTGAATGGATTAAAAAAACGGTAAAACCCAACAGTTTAAATCTGGGGAGTTGTAAAATAAGTTTATTTCCCCAAAAAGTGGAGTATCCCTTTAAGGTGCGGTCACATTGCTCAGCAACATCAAGTCATTACAATAGGAATCTAAACGATCGTATCGGGAAGATTTATCCTCTCAAAACACAAATCGTCCATGCTGACCAATAGAAAGCTGCTTGGTTTGAAAGTGACTACTGTGCTTCATATATCTCTATGCTATTGACAATGGACCTTTGTGTTGCCCATGAAGTTCCACTAATGTGACCGCACCCTACAATTAAAGACAATTTAATAGAAATCAATGGTTAAGAATGTGGCTAGTGCTTCAATGTCTAAGAAAACAGGATACAAATGATATGGTTTGAAATAAACAACTCAACCGGTGGTTGAGGCATTAACGGCATAGAAAATCAGCTTGTCAACATACAAATTCATCCGTAATACATTTGAGTAATTGTGTATAGAACATATTTTTGCTTATGTATTGTTTGATGCTCACAATGTCTTTAAAAAAACACAGAATTGTATTTTGTGAGCAGTAAATGTGCAGAAAATCACTCGTCCATTTGGAAAAGCTCAGTTTATCTAAACAACAAAACAAAAGGATGTTAGAAATACATGTTGTTATAAATGAGCATGAGACAATGAATTTGCATATTTATAAAAATTTTATTCTACATGAGATACATATTAGAAATGAATGTTGTTTTGAAGAACATCCTTAGGTCCCATACCAGATAATTAATCAAATAAATCTGGTTTTCATGAATAAATAGATATACATTATGCACACTGGTACATCTTAATAGCTTTTTGTAAAGCATAAAAAATACTTTTAATTGTGATGATTTAATTAATCAGTAACAGTGAGAAAATAATTTAACTCCCAAAGTATTCCACAAAGCACGAATATAAGTCAGAAGATCTGAGATGTCTAAAATGCTTGACTCATTTCAGACATTTAATCTCAATTCCTCCGTAACAATCATCTGTATTTTAAGAATATTTGTATTTGGTTTGTGACAGAATTATAGAAGCCTTCAGATTATTTTAATATACAAGTCAATATATCAAATAAACTGATTCATCACTGTTTATGTTGTGTTTTATCACTATTAATAAAAATGAAATAAAAAATAAGTAACAATCACTTGTCTTGTATTTCATGTCACCAATCACAGTAAAAGTGCATTTTGCAATTTAATACATTTTGATTTTTTCAGATGCAGCTTTTAAAAATGAATGATTTTAGAAACTTGGCATGAACATAATCTTAATTCATAAGGGGGGGAGGGGGGGGGGTCACCAAAGTCTAGTGAACAGAGGAATAAAGGTTATTGCATTTATAAAATGGCTGCTTAATTCAGAAACATCGTCCAGCATATTTTATAAGGAATGCATTTTCATGAGATTCTTCAATCTGTGAAACTCATTAAAAGTAACAGATCCTCTGTAATTTAGTGAGAACCAGTGCTTAATTTGTAAATCATAAGGTACCAGAATAATAAAAATAACATGCCATGTACTCAAAGGCTAATTTTAAGTTACTCGCATTTATTTACTAGTTACACAAATTACATAAATAATATATTTTCCAATCAAAAAGGCAACATTTGACTAATTTCAGTGCCAGTCTTTTAACATTTCTATCGTAAGATATGCCAGACATTAATTTAATAAACATTTAAAGGAGTAGTTCACTTTTAAAAAAAAACTGATAATTTTCTCACCCCCAAGTCATCCAAGATGTCCACGTCTTTCTTTCTTCAGTCGAAAAGAAATTAAGGTTTTTGATGAAAACATTCCAGGATTTTCTCCATATAATGGACTTCAATGGGGACCAAACGGTTCAAGGTCCAAATGAGAGTTTCATTGCAGCTTCAAAGGGCTTTAAACGACACCAGACGATGATTAAGGGTCTTATCTAGGACCCTTCAAGTTATGACTTGAAAAAAGATTTGTTCATTTTGATAAACGAGTTTGAACAGAAGAGTCACAAACACTCATCACAGAACAGAGCAAGGTGAGCATTTGAGCTAATAAAATTTAAACTTTTTTATTGTTTTTAATGGCCGATCGTTTCACTTGATAAGACCCTTATTCATCGTCTGGAGTCGTTTAAAGCTTTTTGAAACTGTCTTTTGGACCTTGAACCGTTTGGTTCCCAATGAAGACCCAATGGGGGTGAGTAAATTATCAGCAAAAGTTTATTTTTAAGTGAACTACTCATTTAATGATTCAATGTTTAGCTGCTTGCATTGCGCTCTTTCTGTGTTAAAACCTAAGCATCATGCTAGATGTTTTTGATTTTATTGGCCGTTTTAATCATTTTGACATTGGCGAGCGCTGTAATTAGAGGCAGACCAGACTGACAAATTAACTTTAAACTTCTTGACATCCTACCCACACATAGAGTACAGCTCAATGGAGAGTAGCAGAGCAAAATAAAGATCATCAAATACAGGGGATGTGTCATTCACATTCTCTACTGATATTGCGTTAATGTCAATAGCATATTTATGGCCGGGAGGGATAAAAATAACATTTTAGTTTCTTCACTGTTAGCATTTGTATCGCTAATCTTTCCCTTTCTGTCACTACAACCAATATTCTGTTTAACCAAGTGTGTTTAACTCTCGTCAGGAGCGTCCATAAACACCTCTTCCGATGAGAGATACTGGATCCGCACAAAAAGATCACAAATTAAGCACTGGTGAGGAAATTTGGCATCTTCATTAACTGGCATAATGGTTGGCAAACCAAAGTGTAAATATGGAAAGTGTTCAGATGTGTTGAGATTTTACAGGCCAACTTAAAAAGCACGATTTTTCATTTCCTGGTTGGTCACACCAACAACACATCTGTAGTGTTAATAGTCGGGGGCTGTTATTCAGCTTGTCCAGTGAAACAAATTAAGCGTAATTTAAAGGTTTCAATAAAAGACCTTTTCTTTAATCAACAGAGTAGTGTGAAAATAATTATATAAATATTAAAGCAAATTGTTTTATAGAGATGATTTTACAGTCTTTTTCCTTTACACTGAACTGTATTTTTGGTAAATATTAGGGCTGTCAAACGACTAATTGCGATTAATCGCATCCAAAATAAAAGTTTGTGTTAACATAATATATGTGGGTGCACTGTGTATAATTATTTTATATATATATATATATATATATATATATATATATAAAAATACACACACATCCTTTTATATATTTAAGAAATATTTTCATGTACTGTAAGTAGATTTATATATAATTTATTTTATATTATATATAAATATTTTATATACAAATAATATTTTTTTCCTAAATATACATGCATGTGTGTGTATTTATATACACAAAATAATTATACACAGTGCACCCACATATATTATGTAAACACAAACTTTTATTTTGGATGCGATTAATCGCGATTAATCGTTTGACAGCCCTAGTAAATATATGTGGTTTGAAAGCATGACACCGAGTTATACACTCAACCGCATTTATAATTGCAGAATGAGTTATGTTTTGTAATTTTAACGCCCTATCAAAAATATCACCTTTAAACAACACATGAACTGTTCCAAAAATAGTATTTGAGCTTAATAAAAGCTTAATTGAATTAGCAGATGATTTCATCTATACGTTTTAAATATTCAAACTGAGGAGTATTTTAACCTCTGTGTATTTTACAGATCGACGAACATTGACTAATCATAAGACGTAGTACTTAGAAAGTACAATAATCAGCACATAAAATCTTCATGTGGATTTTTACGTCCACACGAAGCTACTTCATATGGTAACATTAAATTATGACGGATGGAAAAAGAAAAAACACAGCAGATTCCAGCTCAGAAAAACGGACGTTAAATTTGACTTCACATGCTCGGTCATGGTGTACGCAATCAAGTCATGATTATAATTCTCTGTATATCTGACATCATAGTCATACTATAAAAACAATTCAGTTTTGAGTTCAAACCAACATTCATCGACCAGCATCCACCGAACAGACCCCGGAAACACAACCGAGAAGCAAAGCACAGTTCTCACGTTTTTATTTCTGCTGCTGATCCAAGACCTCTGCTTTATTCTAAAAGGATCGCTAATATAGTTCCACTTTAGTGAAGTGCTTTTTTAATTTTCTTTAAAATGCATCAAACTCTCCATACCTTGTCAGAAATCAGATAAGGAGTTTCTATGCATCTGCAACTCATCGGTTACGAGTGTGAAGTTTCCACTGGCTGCCTTTGATTGGAAAGTCAGCAGCGTTCAAATGCTCATTGAGATGTAGAAGAAAAACTCCATGTCCATGGTCTGATGGGGGACACAGGAGCTTCCACCGTGGATGACGGGAATCAGAGCCCCGTCCAGATCGTTCATATACTTCTGAGGCAGGAGTTGGCCACTAGAGCCAGCCTGGTACTCAACCTACAAAAACACAATCAGTGGATTACAAATGCATCTTATGTATTTAATCTACACATGATTAGAATCTACATCTAATCAGTGTCTTGAGAGTTAGTGGCAAACCATTTTTTCCCGAAAAGCAGTAGAGAAAAAATGTTAAATGTCACCTTATACTGGGCCGCAGACTTAAAAATGGGAATCAAATGCTCAAGTATCAAGATTCATTTCAGTGAACTGGGTCTTTCAGGTGGTTTCAATGAACCGAGTTAAAGGTGAACTATGCAGGTTTTTTACCTTACACTGAAAAAAAAAATGCTTTATCTAATCAATAAAATTGTAGCAACATATTACAATCAATATTATTAATTAAATTGTACAAATTAGAATTAATTAGAATGTTAAATTGATTAACTATTACTCCCCCCCCCCCCCTAAAAAAAATCTTTTCAAATTTGTTCACAGAACCTCAAACATACTTGTTTGATGCGTGAAAACCAATGAGGTTCATTCTCGCGTGTTATGCCGCACGTTTGAGCTTCCGCAAAAACCAATGAGTTTTGTTCTTGCACGTCAAGAATATGTGACATGCTTATATGTGAATAAAAACCCAAGTTAAATCAATTCAAATATAAAGCGATCAAGTCTCTTCAGAAGACTTGGATTGAACAACTCCAGTCACATAGATTTCTCTCACAATTTCTTTTGAACCGTTAAGTTTTTTGGGTGAATAGACTTTCAATGGAGGGATAGAAATGTCTTAGATTTCATTAAAATATTTTCATTTGTGTTCAAAAGATCTAAAAGTCTTATGGGTTTGGAATGACATGAGGGTGAGAAATTGATAAGAAACTTTTTGGGAAAACTCTCAATTTAAAGGTTTTCTTTTGTTCAAAAGCTCAATTTTCATGAGTTTCAGAATTGCTTAATCAACACTCCTGTGTAATTTACAGCTGGAAATGATTTACCATGTCCGAGTCGGTGGAGACTCGGAGCGCGAGAGAGTTGAATCCATTGGCCATGAGCACAGAGAGGTGCGGGCAGAGGGCAGCGCAGCTGGCGGTGGCAATCTCTCTCTGAAACTGAGCTGATGATGTGAGGATGGCAGATAGGGAAACGTCTGAAGACTTCAGCAGATAGAAAACCTGATGGGAGAGACGGGACATGAACCAGAGATGACAACGAGGAAATCATTATGCGGGCACCATGCAGTACACACCTCAGTACACCTGATGGTTTGGCCATCCATCTCAAACTCAGAGTCCTGCTGGATCTTGATGCTGGACACTCCCTCCAGAGACTTGCCATCCACTGGACTGGAGACTCTGCAAACATGCAAACACACATAACATGTTATACTTTCTTAGGGGAATTATTTTTGACCTGACACAGCATTTTAACCACTGAAGGAAGCTGAAAGAATGAATTTTAAATAGTGCCCAATTAATGCAGTGTGCATTTTCAAGGTTACTTGCAGCAGCAGCCAAACCGATCAATAGTGTTTTATCACTCAGTAAGGTGATTAATCAGTACAGTATTGGCATATTGCACATCCATAGTCAAGAATCTGATAAGAACATACACTACTGGTCAAGAGACATTTCTGATTATTTTTTTCGCTTAATATTTTTGTGGAAACTGTCATTTACTAATATACTTTTATTCAACAAGGATTAAATTGTTTAAAAATAACAGTCAACAGTGAAAGACATAAACACTGCTTAAATTAGGATCAATTAGGGCATTTATAGGTACAATATGCAGGATTTTTGCAGTAAAATATCCAAACACCACTAGACCAATGTTATATATTTTGTTCAGTTTATTAATTTTGTAATTACTTACAATATCCCAAATGTTTCCAAATATTTGTAAATCATGAGAAAATTGCGATTTTTAACCAAGGAAACGGGGGGTGTGAGCAGGGGTGAGGAGTCGCCAGTCAATGACGTCATATCCGCGTTACCCCCGGTTTCCGCCAGGTTTGACCTCGTACGCAATAGTAACCATGGCGACAGACGTGTCGTGGACAACTGAGTCGGTTATGCCCATTATGTGTGCTCAACAGCGTGAGCGTCCCTAGCAGGGTTTTGTTCAAACATTATGGACCATGGCAAACAGACTTTGACGCAAAAAGAAGACTAAAACGAAGGTCAACATCTTTCGAGATGCCGAGAGCTCCATGTCCGCGACTAACTTCGACTTAGAGACGCGAGTGTTGCATGTTACTTGAGCAAATCAATGTATATAAAACTAATCAATGTTATGTAGTTCAACATGATGAAAAGTTAGAATATGATCTGTATGTTATCCTCTAATGTTGATCTAGCTTAGTCTCATACAGCCAACAAACAACCTAACTAACAACATTCAACACACTCAAATGCCGTTTAGTGTGATTGAGTAACTAAAGCAGCGCTGCGTTACCTCAAGTTTAACTCCTCTAATAAACTGACCTGTGTGAGTAATTCAGCGTGTAGTTCAGTAGAACAAAATGTCTTTATTTCTTTATATCCGCGGGACTAGCGTTGCGTGTGGCGCTGGTATACGTTTAGCAATCGCGCCCTGCTTTATACCAAACATCAAAGTATTCACTCATCCATAAAAGATCCATCAGCTTGACGACAAGATCCATAATTCCGCTTAATGCAGAATATACGTCATTAATATACGCCTTTATTATTAGTATTATAGAGGTTAGCGACCCCTGGTGGCGAAACAATCTTGCATATTGTACCTTTATTGTACCGTTGCTTTACTAAATGTTCATAGAAAGAAACATTACTGATTACATTACTTATTTTAAAGGGGACATATCATGGAAATCAGACTTTTTACATGTTTAAGTGCTATAATCGAGTTCCCTGTGCATCTACCAACCACCTTTGTTTTGGTAAGCCTTTCTCTTGTGTCAAAAATTAAGCCGATCTGATTTCGCTCCCCTTCTGATGTAGGAAGGGGATTTTATTGTAATATTACCGCCCCTTAATCTGCACATTTCCACCCCCAGCGCCACCATTTGGTTTTCGCAAGCGACAACAGTGCACAGACGAGTACGTTGGTGCACAGAGGAGCACAGAACACTATTTGACCAAAAAATGTCACAGCTGTCTTATAAAGACCTCAGGGAACTTGTGTAAAAGTCAAATATGACGGTACACACAAGTCGATGAGATGAATCGATGTATCTGCACAACAACTATATCCATGTATCCACAAACCATTCAGAAACGTCCAGGTGCATCTATAATTTATAATAGATCTTGTGAAAAGAGGAATAATGTCACCTTTAAGATATGCCAGTGAAAGTGGCTTTCAGTTAAAACAGCTCAACTTGCATTTTAGTGTGGGTATAGACTCAAACCTTGTCTGTGAAACCAGGGGTTAAAATGTTACAAAAGATTTATGTTACGTAAATGCTCTTCTTTTGAGTTTTCGATTCATCAAAGAATCCTTAAAAAAAAGTATGACTCCTTCAACAAAAATGTTTTCAACATAGATGATAATAATAATTATGCAATGTAGAAGAAGAACCATTGTTAACAGAGCAATAATAATAATTAAGCAACAAATCTTGATGAGCAAAAGAGACTTCTTTTAAAAACATTATCAAAAGTTTAGAAAAATTAAGATTTTTAAGTGTAAAAATGTATGATAATTAGTTGGTACCCAGTGTTGACAGGTGCGATCCAGTCGACCCAGCGTACATTCACATTTTCTCGTGTCTCTTCTGAATCTGCCCTTCCACATGGTATCTGGAAGTCGCTCTGGTCCCTGAGGGCCTGTCGCAAACCCTCCATCGTCTCCGGAGGGATTTGCACCATTAACCCATCTAAAGATGAAAAGGGAAAGCGTGATGATACAGCTCTGCTTTTTGAGAGTAATAATCAGATGTAGTTTTCAAAAAACTGACTTGTATAAAAGCATTACCCTCCACAATGCTAGATTTGGCAATAAATCCTGATGAGGCTTTCAGAGCACCATTAAACACCACAAAACTAGCTCCAGTCACTGCAAAAGAAAGACTTGTCATCTACTGACATCAGATAACAAATATGATGCAACAAACTTAATGAGTGTTTTCCCTCTAGAACTTTTAAAATACATATTACAATTATTATAACTATGGGTATTCATTAGGGCTGGGCAAAAAAATAGATTTTTCAATTAATCGTTTTTGAAAATGTGTTCGATTCAAAATCGATTGTCAATGGCCACGAATCGATTTTTTCCATATAAAGGGTTTGCGGACGCGGTGCTGCATCTTCTTGTCTCTCTGCACTAGCCAAGCGCTGCAGCTGTCGATACACACACGCGTTTAGGAGTCGGGACATGACAGAATATTCACTTAACAATCGGGCCAGCATTGCATCGTAACCTATGATCGTAACTAACGTTTATCATTTTCACGTCTTTTTAAGTTTTACAAGCAATGTTAAACTATCCCGTGCTCGCGCACTCTCAGAGATGTCTTTCACTGCGTGCACAGTAACGTTACAGCCTAAATCTGCCTCACAAACAGCTCGCCAGAAACAAAAGTTTTATCCCTGGATTATATCACTTTAACAGTTAAAACACGCGACATTATGTCAAAACTCTGGTCTTGGTGAGTAACCTCGTAAAGACAGTCGGTAATGTCTTAAATTAGCATTAAACGCGTGTAACAGAAAGTTAATGAAACAGTAATGGATTCGCGCACTAGTTCTTAAAGTGAACGCAGCCATTTGTGTCAGTCATTAATTCTGTTGTCATAACAACAGAATATAGTATTAATTGTAAGCAATCAGAATTAATAGCCTTTGTATTTAATTCAGTCTGGACTAAAAAGACTATCCAGTGTTATTTTACATTGGATTACTTTAGTCAGTTTCTGTAGTATTTCTGACATACCCCAAAAAATACCCCAAAATGTCTCTTAATTTGTGTCTTTATTCTATTGTATTTATTTGTGCTACTTTTTTCAATTTAATTCAAAGATTGAAATCAAGCTTCCATACATAAACTCTTAAAACAAAAATAAACAAAAAATTACATTACCATTTAGGTAAGATCAATGTAAAAAAAAAAAGTCTAAATATTTATATATTTATTTATCTATATCTATTTTAAACATAAAATAACATGATACTGTTTGATCAAGCTGTGCGACTGTTCTGACTTTTTTTGCATATTGCATCAAAATCCTGTTTATTCTCTGTATGCATTTAGTGTACCTAAAATAAAAAGAGTTTTATATACAGGTTTATGGCTCTTAATTTCCTTGTATTAATTAACCACTAGTAAACTTACGTCCACTGTTCTTTTTTATAAATATAGGATTTGTATTACATCTTCTTTATAGTCGAATCGAGAATCAAATCAGGAATCGAAATCGAAAATTGAATCGAGAATCGAAATCGAATCGAACTGAGAGCTTGTGAATCGAAATCGAATCGAAATTGAAATGTGAATCGATACCCAGCCCTAGTATTCATAAGTCCATATATAATGTGCATATCAAGACATAATTGACGCATTAAAAATACTTTACCGGCGTTTAAATATAATGCATAATACAAGTTTTACCAAACATTTTAGCCCAATATCATCCAGCATTAGCAACGCTTGACAAACCTCTCCTGGTTTTCCCTGGAATGCTATTGGCTTGAGTCCGGTAGCTTCCGTCCTCGTTCTGCATGCAAACCAAGTGGGAATCGGCCTCTGTGCTGAAACAAGCACCGAAACTGATCACATGCTCATTGGAGGAGTTCACCACCTTCAGCATCTGCAACAGCCAGAACAAAACAACACAATCAATGACAACAACACAATAACAACAGCCTGACTGGTGCACAACTCAAATATAATTCTGACCTCATTAAACCTGGACTTGGGAATCTCGATGTAGCTGTTTCCCAGCTCCATGTGTACTCGCAGACTTTCCACCACAGGTAAACTGTATTGGTAGTTCCTCAGATCCTGTGTTAAAATCAGCAAAACAAAAGAATGAAGGAGGATACAAAGTGTTTGGAGATACAAGGCCTAAAGTTAACATTAGACCACACTTTAAAAGAAACACTCCGACTTTTTGGGATTTTAGCTTATTAACCATACCCCACAGAGTAGGATAAGTCCATACATATCTTTTTCATCTTTATGCGTGCTGTAACTCTGTCTGACGCACCCACCGCTAGCCTAGCTTAGCACAAAGACTGGATTGTAAATGGTTACAGCTAGCATTCAAATCCCAATAAAAGACAAAATTACACAAACATTTTCCTATTTACATGTTGTGATCTGTAAAGTCACAGAGTGTAGAAATAACAAGGTCATAGCCATCTTTTAAACGTATAAATATTGGGAACTATATTCTCAGAAAGGCGAAGCACTGCTACTTGGGCGGAGTGATTGTTATTTGTACACTCTGTGACTATACAAATCACAACATGTAAATAGGAAAATGTTTGCGTTATTTTGTCCCTTTTTTGGGATTAGTATGCTAGCTGTATCCATTTACATCCAGTCTTTGTGCTAAGCTAGGCTAGCAGGGTGTGCGTCAGACAGAGTTACAGCACGCACGGAGATGAAAAAGGTATGTATGGACTTATCTAACTCTGGAGGATATGGTGAATAAGCTAAAGTCTCCAAAGTCGGAGTGTGTTCACACTTGTAGTTCGGTTCTCTTGTTACTTTTGGTCCATAACTAGGGATGCACGATATGTCGGCCAGTATATCGGTATCGGCCGATATATGTTCATTTTTAATGTTATCGTTATCGGCCTGGTAATAAAATGTGGCCGATATATTGAAGCCGATAAATAATGTATTATTCCCTTCAGCTGAGACACTTGTTGAGCACTGTTTATGTTTTTGAACTTCTTGAAATATGATTGAAATCTCTTCAAAAAATGAAAATACGGTTCGGTACAACATGTGCAGCGCAAATCTGTCATATCGGCTATACAACACTATAATGAGAACATTATTATAATTGTGCGCTTGGGACATGGATTTAATTGTGAGACTTTTGTATTTGTAATCAGGCTCTCAAAATTAGATAATAATTTGGATTTAAGTTAATCGGCCGATATATCGGTTATCGCCTTTCAAATATAAAGAATTATCGGTTATCGGTATCGGCTAAAAGCAAAGATCTGCTCAAAGGAGAAGTGGTTCTGATGCCTGTACCAAACTGTGATGGGCAACGGAGCTCCTGAGATGAGAGGAACCAGGTATGCTTGAGCATTCTGTCCTTTTTAGGGTCGTATCTTGTGACATCACGTCCTGTTTTTAGTTCATTTAAATGTCTTTGGTCCACGTTGTGTTCCATGTTCGCACAGTATAACAAGCATCAATCGTAAACGACTATTATAAATCCTACAGTGTGCACCCGGCTTACATTTACCCTCAGACTAAAAAGGATGCAAAGAAGAATACCCAGAAATAAGCCAATTTTGATCAACTTAATTTGCACATTTTTCCATGCCTGTGTCCAGGAAAGTGGCCGTGAGCGTACTTGAAAACACTATCGTTAGAATGGAGACCAAAGAAGCTCTTATATTCTCAGACATGAAGAGTGGCTCAGAGCTAAAGTACACTTTAAGAGGTCTCAGTCCTCAGCGCTTTCTAATCTCCTTCATTAACTGTCCTGAGCTGAACCCTCGACTCGCGACTCGGGTTTTACTTACAGTAGGTGGACAAATAGCTACAAACAACCATCTTCTTTGATTCCAGACATTTGAAATAATTTAAAATCTTTCAGGGAAGAATCATTCACAAATTAGAACATTTTAAATAAAACCACAATAAACCTAAAAATGTGCATATTGAGTATAAGGCTAAAACCAAATAACCTGGAATCAAATAACTATGATGTTTACCTCAGCTGCACACCATTAATCCATATACAAATTAAACAGATATATACATGCAAATACAGTCTTTTCACAGACAGACACTATATTTTAAAACTTTGAAGAAAAAGTATCAAAATCCTCAAAAATATAAAGCAGCGCAACTGTTTTCAACTGTTTTGAAAATGTTTCTTGAGCTGCAAATATGATTATAATATTATAATATTTTTCTTAAGGATCATGTGGCACTGAAGACTAATGCTAAAAATTCAACTTTGCATCACAGGAATAAAAAAAAATTAAATTCAAATACAAAATAGTTCCTTTAAATTGTAATAATATTTCACAACATTACTGTTTTCACTGTGTTTTTAATCAAATAAATGCAGCCTTTGTGACTAGAAACTTCTTTCAAAAACGTTAAACAAAAAAAGACTTCAAAACAGTAGTGTACATGGCTGAACAATTCATTCAAGTTTATATGAATGATTAAAATACTGCCAGGGCAGATGAGTGAGGGTGTAATGTGAACACGTACTGTGAGCAGATTCATGATGGTGTGTCCTGTCTCTTTAAAAACTGAGTCGCGGAAACGCACGCTCACCAATGGGCAGGGATACACTGTAAAATAATAAAAAATAAAAAACAGATCACATGACTGGAGGGGTGGAACTGAGCTAATATCATATATTCTGATAACAATAATGCTTTAATAACAACATTTTCTTCTCTGGATGTTCTAATGAGGGCTCACCGTTGTATTGTGCCCCTAGAGCGAGCAGCAGTCGGAGGGGAAACACTTTAGCCCACGGCACCTCCAGCTTCTGAATCAAAAGGCCACAGAGGAACGAGACCTGCGGCAAAGCAAGACCATCCAGAGGCTGAAAGGTTGGAGTGAAGAACAGGACTCCGCCGTGGTCTTTACTGCCCAGGAAACTATCAGTGAATGTCACATTGCCAAGGTGCTCAACAAACTTCCCTGTCGAGGGAAAAATAAGAAACAACACCATGTAAGCCACCATATGACACTCATTTACATACTGAAAGTTTTGACTTTTGGTTAAACAGATAAAATATCATGCAGTGAAAAATCCTGCATAATCTAGTGTTTTGCTATCAGTATAGTAGTTAAAAAATCTCTAAAGGCCAGAAAGAGGGTGGAATATTGGTTTTGGTGCAAAAATAAAAATAAAATGCTATGACCCTTTAAGGCAGAACACCAAAGGTGATTAAGGTAATAAAAAAGTAACTTATAGATATCATGATCCTTACCCAATTGATTGATTACATAAAGAATTGCAAACATATTTCCTATTTCTGATATGGTATGCTTAAATATTCAAATGAGGCATTATCTAATTAAATATGCACTGATAATATGCATACATTATCACTTGTTTCACTGTGTTGATATATTAGAGTTAAAAAGAGATTTCTCAAAAACCAAAAAATACTGTCAACAGCCAGATAAAACATTACTTTCGGATGCATGAACAAACCCCTCAGTAAAAACCTTCAGAATATAGATAAAACTGAAAAGTTTGGTGTATGTATACAAGCACTGATTTCTGACTCAGAAGAAAAAAAACTCGCAGCCTTTAAAGATTTGTATTGTATTTGAAATATACATTTAAAAAAATCCACTAGTCTGAAATAACATGTTATGAAAAGCCCAAAAGCCCAAAAAGTACTGTGTTTTTGCCAGTAGTGTCATCCCTTAAGAGTTCTGGGTGACGTACCTTTCTGTGCATCCTGGTATATACTAACATACAGGTTGAATACGTCTCTAGGCAGGCTGTTTTCCTCTGGGAGACATTCGATTATAAACACCAGCTCTTTCTGGCCAACTCCCTGAAGACCATTAGAGCTCAGACACCAGCACTTCTTCTCACAATCTACAACACAAACAGAGAGACAGAGAGCAATGATGAGCATCAAATTAACAAATGAGGAACACAATCACATATTTCAGATTTAGTTCAGACATCGTAACGTACATGTGACGATCTTGACGTTCACCAGTAAATTGGCGTTGAGGACGAAGATCAGAGGTTGTGGGCCTCCCTCCTCCAACAGCAGCAAGATTTGGCAAGCAGCAGGACGTTCCTCAACTAATAAATCTAATGAAATTAAAAGAAAATTACAGACTAAAGAAAAACAGCACCACATTATAAAGAGTTCGCTCTGAATTCTCACATTTGACTATTGAGACAAAATAATAACCTAAAGAGCAGTAGCTTCAGTTGATTTATTATGACATTTAGATGCCAGTATATATTTAATTAGGATTCTAATTAACCTCTAAGTAAATAAAATTTTGTTGTCATTAACAAAGCCACACAAAGACTCGTTTTGCCATAACATGCACAGGGCCTCATGAAACAGTTATATTTTCCCCTAAATTCTGTTTTAGGATTTAATTAAAAAAATATTCAAGCTATTCAAAAATGTTGTCTAATGAAGTAAATTCATAAACCTTTAACATTTTAGTCAATGTAAAATGGAATAAAAAAAAATAATAAAATAAAAGTAAATAAAAACATCTTGGTTGAATGATGAAGCATCTAAGGATTCTTAATAGCAACCTGAGTGTGTGTGTGTGACTTTAAGAGAGCAAACATATACATCTGTATTGTTTTATTTTCTTTATTTTACTTTTTAAATAAAAAAAGGAGCGCTCTATTTTTATATATGATATGCGTCCGGTTTCACAGACGAGGTTTAAGTCTAATCCCAGATCAAAATGCATGTTTGAGCTGTTTTAACAGAAAGCTACTTGCCCTGATACATCTTAAAATATGTCAGTGTCATTGTTTTACCTTAAGATGAATGTTTTTTTCCCAGGCAGGGTTAGAAAAATAATGTAGTGTAACTAAGACCAACTCCTGGCTTAATCCAAGTCCTTTCTGTTAAACCAGGCCTTAACTTTATAATCATTAGGCATTAATGTAGTTGTCATATTACACAATTTACCATTCATAATTTTTTTATTTCCCCCAGCCCCCGTTTTTCCCCCATTTAGGCTGCATTCACACTGCAGGTCTTGATGCCCAAATCCAATTTTCTGACTATATCCGATTTTTTTGACGACCTGCTCACATCATCTTTTAAAAGTGACCCATATCCGTGTTTTTGCCTTTACACTATCCACAAGTTTCCGAGGTGCGCTCCTGTAAAAAATAAAGTGGGTGAAACTTCCGGTGACGCGGCGGAAGTAGCATTCCAATGGTATTTTGTGTGTTAGTTAGCGAAGAGGCTAGCTGTTTTTCAGAGAATTATTGTACTATTTAAAGACGCAAATCTTTATGAGATATGTCGTTACGGAGCTCAGGGACAACATGTGCTGTTCGCGGTTGCATGTATAACCGGACTAAACTAATTCAGTGGCTTAAACGTGATTGTTTTGGACATAAGCCGAAAACGAAATCAGAGTGATCCTGCCAACGACTGTAGTTTCCATCACGACGAATCTTCCTGTGTACGTTTGTTTAAATTCTTAATATTCTATAAACTCTCTCAGCATGTGTTTGGCTGTTCTCTACTGATGTTGCACCTAAACTCAGGATCAAAGCCTGTGTTGACAGAATACCAAATGTGCCAGTTAATGTCTTCAAGTAGCACATTCATTTATAATTTTGAATAAACTCCAAAGCACAATGACTAAGTGTGTATTTTTTATTTTAATTGTTTGTCAGCTCGCACAACTGTCTGTCTTGATGAGTATTGATTATTAATAATGTTATTATAATACTCCCAATGAACTACTGCGGAGGTAAAGGTACTGTTATTTCACCCTTTTGAATTTCGTTGAGGTTGTGTTCCCACATCGTTAGCTAGTTTGGATCGCTATAACTTGAATGACTGTCAACTGTTGAATGAACGAGTGTCAAGCACGTCAAGTCGAGCTTTGTTTACTTCGAACCGGAAGTCGCGCCCACTTTTGACGCAAGGCCTCATGGGGCGTAGGAAACTTGTGGATAACACTGCTGAAACTAAATGTAGACGTTCTGACCCGGGAAATTAAGTAAAACAGCACAAAATGCAATGGATACAGATGTGAATAAAATTATCCAGTGTTTTTCTTTCCACAATATTTTGTCTCATACAGTGGAGAAAAAAGAGGGGAGGAGAGGCACTGTAGCCACGAGTGCTTAAAATGATGCCTCATATCTCGTGAAATGTCTTCAAATACAGATTTATTTCTGTAACAACCCTGCACTCTTCGCCCCAAACACTCAAAAGACATGAAACCTCCACATTGCTCCACTGTGTGTATCCTTTCTTTCATTGCGCCTGTAATCGCGCACTTTTTAATGACGGACGACCACATATGAATGAGGCCTGAATCCGATTTGAGAAAATCGGAATCCATGCGTTTTTTCCTGCTTACACGTTCACCGGTCATATCTGATCTGTGCCACATGAGAGTGGATTTGGATTTGGGTCACTTGAACCGTGCAGTGTAAACGAGGCCTTAGAGATGAATGACCTCCAAAATGAAGTCTACCATCTGGTAGAAGCCTTTAAAAAGTCCTTACCCCCAACTTCCTCCTCTCCTGTAGTAATGAGAAGTGGAGGCAGACCTTCGTCATCCTCCGGCACCAGACTGGCCGCTCTCTCTACGCAGTTGCCAACCCCACAAAGTAGGCCGTAGTCCCACGGGCCTCTGACGGGCGGGCGGCTCACCTCAGTAGCGCTGTCAGAACTGACTCCGGCACTCTCATCAGACTCGCCAGGAATTTTAGCATCAGGCTGAAAAGCAGCAAATCAATTGATGACTTCAATTGTCACTATGAGTTATCTCCAGCATCAGTTTAGAAGATTTCGGCGTCTCACCTCCGGTGGGTCTGGCGTTACTGGACTCGACTCCTGAGAGGATCTTCGGGTCTGTACGGAGAGTTTGGTGGTGTCGGCTACCTCACCGTTTGGCAGGATACCATCAGCAAACCACACGTGCTTCTGCTCACGTGGAAAACCTACAGGAACAAATATAGAAACACAAACGACAGTGTCATTAGGATTAGGCTTGAAAGAGGGAATCAAATAAAGTATGCTTGAAATCAGGTGTGATGAAGAGGAAATTTGTGTACTATTACATCTTATTTGGTCAAAAATACAATAAAAACAGTAATATTGATAAATGTCATTACAATTTCTAAAAAAAAGAATTCTATTTAAATATTGTAAAATGTAATTTATTCCTGTGATGGAAAGCTGATCAGGTCAGGAAATGAAATGAATGCTGATTTGTGCGATACGTTTGTGGAAACCATGATGCATTTTTTCATGATTCTGAATAGAAGGTAAAAAAAACATTTGAAATACAAATATTATGTAACATTTAAATGTCTTTAATGTAGGGCTGGGCGGTATATCGAGTTTGTACGATGTATCGTTATATTTTTTTGAAACGATATGGAATGAGGCAATACCGTTTATATCGATACAGTAGTTTGATATGAGGACATCTGAAAAATAGCGGAGGTTGCAGTGTGAGCTGCTGCAGTGAAAGTAGCTAGGCTACATAGTACAATTTTTCCTAAACATGACACACAAGCTTATATTAATTGCTTCAAAATAACTGATAAGATAATAGTTAACAAGTTTAAAGCAGCTTGCCCTGTCAGATGCTTTGACAGACACTGTTGCTGACTGACAGATATACTTGCGCTGTTTAATGCGTTTGAGATGTGGTGCTTTCCTCAGTGCTCAACTTACATTTCACAGGTATATTCTCCATCTGTAAATGTTAGAAAGTAAAGCAAATATGTCCATTTCACAACAAATATGTCCATGTCAGAAGAGGACGAGCTTCTGCAAGTGAATCTCCGCTAAAATTCATGCTTCCTTGAACGAGCGCCGCCGCGCGCATGCCCGTGAATAGTACTACGTAGTACGCAATAATTCTGACTAAAATAAACATATTGCTAAAATATTTGTTGTTGGAGAAAATAAATGTGCCATATGTGGAATTTTAAACCTACAAGTATATATTTTTAAATGAAAGTGACCATTATAATGGGGTAATCAAATGCAGGCTAATATAATTAGTTTGTGCTTTTGTTTTTGTTTTTATTTTCATTTTTAGTTTAGCCTTTAGTCAATTTAAAAACAAAAGCTTTTTGCAAATGATATATTGCATAGCCTACATTATATTTGTTTCCATATCCTTCAATATCAACATTGTTTGTAGGATATCATTGGGCAGAATGTGAAATATATACAGTATATATACAGTATAGCCTATATTTTTTAAATATAAAGATTTTCTTTATCTAAATAGAAAACGTAGAAAGTACCGAGATATATATCGTATATCGCCATTTAACCAAAAAATACCGAGATATGATTTTTTGGCCATATCGCCCAGCCCTACTTTAATGTCACTTTTATTTAAATTGATGCATCCTTGCTGATTAAAAGTATTAATTTAGCTAGTGAAGCTAGCCTAGTCTTCCACTTTATATGATATGGAGTATACGCAATTTGGGACGCAGTCACTCTTTCATTCATGAACTAATTATAGTAAGTGGAAGTCACTGTGCTTTATAGCCATAAGAGCTATAACTCAGCATTCTGGCTCAGAGTGCAGTGCGTACCGTCATTACCGGGGTGTTTGAGGACAGACACGGGGACCATGACGGTGGGTGGGGGAGAGTTGAGGGTGCCGGCAGCACGGGCCTGCTGCATGGGTGGTATGGTGGAGCAGTACTCTGATGGGATGTTGGGATTGGGACTGGGCCCAGTGGGGCTCATCATTCTCTCATGGGCTTGAGCTGCACACAGACAAACAAAATCAGTCGTTTCTAAATCAGGCGTCTTTTCAGTGTAGTGAATGAAAGGTCATGCTGGGACAGAGAATGATTGAGAGAAAGGAGCAGTGGGGTGGCACATCATTTTACAGTCCTGGTCCCCTATAATATACTATGTTCTTATTATAGTAATTGCAATAACTGGGTAATAACTAGGTACTAACCCTGAACCTACCCATAAAGCTAAACTCAACCCATGTAATTGCCTTATTTTTCCCAGTACGTTCTTAGGTAAGAACACTGTAAGTGCACGTACTGTAAAATAGAGTGCAACCAACAGTAGATAGATTTTGCTGTGATGAATGAGGAATAACTTTTGTTATAAAGACAATTTAACGTGAAAATTGATTTAATTTATAGTCTATATATAAATATAGTCTAAATTATAGTCTATATATAAATATTCCCGGTTTTGTAAACGATTTATCAGTGCATATTATACTAGAGTAAAACTTTTTTATTTTATTTTACATAATGTAATAACTTGCTTAATATCCAACTTTTTAAATTATGTAACATTAGATTAACCAATAATATCACAGCCTAATATACACAAGTCCCACTCTAAATTATTTATAAACATTGTGAATATATAAATTATATAAAAATTGTGCTTTACTCAGATGAATAGTAGTGGCCAAAAGTGATGTCTGGAAGGGAGTTTTGTTTTTTAAAGACCCTTAACATATTTTTTCCTAAAAAAAAAAAAAAAAAAAAAAAAGGCAAACTACAGCCACAGGTTTTATCTTATTATGCAAAAACAAAAAGCTCACTGGAAAAAGCCTACTTTGACTACAACATAATCAATGATTAATGTTTTGTTGGGTTCATTATTTCTTTGAATGACAGTCTGACCAAAAATTCTCTGCACAATGTGTCATGTTTCATTGCATTATCCCAAATAAAACAATTGATATCAAGCACAACTATGCTATATTTTGTAATATTTGAATAAAGGGTGGACTCATCGATAGACGCTTTTCCACCATCGCGTCGAACGATTCGAAGGAATGGTTCCAGTTATATTTCCACTCGAGCTCGGTTCGGCATGGCATGATCACAAACTGCTTTCGGCCTGAACTGAACCGCGCAGGTGGAATGATTCGTGTAGTTACGACGCCCTTCAGGACTGGTCACTTGTCTGTTGTCAGGCCAAGCTTGCTATTTGAGCCAAGTAAACACTAGTTAATAATAAAAATAAAAGAAATATCTGGTCATCCTCCATAATGTGGTCACTATTTACATCTCATCCCATCTGTAAACTCTTGCAGAGAGAGAACTCTGAGTGGACTGACGCATTTGTATTACATTTAAAAGAGCTCTGATTTCAGCCGTGCATTGAAAATGAAACCAAATCCATACAGGCTGGGCCGGATCGGCATTAAATATAATGGGAATTTTTTTGACCCAATGCTAGAAAAGCGGCTCATGTCTTTGTGTGATGAACAGTCAATATTTACTGAAAATCTTACCCTTTAATGACCACTGGAGTCGAATGAATATGTTTCGGTCAGTTCCTCACACATATAACTTCAATATGACTTTAGATAAAAGCACACCGTCAAGTATGATTAACTTTTATGGAGCTTGACAACCCTTGGTTTATATGGTTTCATTTAATTAAAAAAGAGGAGCATTTACACAATGCCGTTTGCAACCCACAAAAGAAAGTGAATGATTACAGAATTTACATTTTGGGGAGAACTGCCCCTTTAAATGCACTGTGAATGCAGTGAAAGACGAGTTCAAATATATTTATATACTGCACCTATACAGTACCGTTCAAAAGTTTGGGGTCAGGAAGATTTTTTTTAAGAAATTAGTAATTTGATCAAAAGTGACAGTCAAAAAACTTTTTAAAACAAATGCTATTCTTTTGAACTTTCTATTCATCAGAGAATCCTGAAAAAAATAGATATTATGGTTTCCACAAAAAATAGCAAAACATTTTTTTAATATTGATAATAATAAAAAAAAATTCAAATCATCATATTAGAATGATTTCTGAAGGATCATGTGACACTGAAGACTGGAGTAATGATCCTGAAAATTCAGCTTTGATCACAGGAATAAATGTTTTACGGTATTCCTTGGTGAACATAAGAGACTTCTTTTAAAAACATTATTAAAGATTCCAAACTTTTGAACGGTAATATATTTGCTGTACACTTAATTTTAGCAAAAAAAAGTGTTTAATTGTGGTAAACCAAGTTATAATCAAAGTCCAGACCTCATTCAAGCTGAGTCACATGCTAATAAATCAAATGTTTACAACACCACAGACTGAGAGTCAATCACAGCAAGTTATTATTAAAGAAAGTGATGGGCAACGAGCCACCAAACTGAACTCAAGAAACAGGACGTCCAGTGCAAACCACAGCCCAGTGTGCGGACACCCTCTCCAGCCATGAGTCAATAGATTATGTTGATTAAGGCTCATAGATGCTCATCGACCTGATTACACTGGCACTGCCTGTGACACCCGCAAAACATGTCAGCTAGAGGCACAAACGGCAAAATATGCTGGCTCACGGCGAAAACAGCTACCACGACAAGACGGATGGAAACTGTGAAGGCAAGAAACAGCAGGACAAAATGTCCCTGAGTATTTGGAAATTCACACTGGAACAACTAAAGTGAAAGTTAAAAACTTAAAAGAGTAAACAAAATCAAGCCACCGAATGATTAATCGCAGATTTTGATTCAGTTCACTGATATCCCGATCTTACCTCATCCCAATTTAACTCCAACCCAAATTCTCTTCCAGGTTAATCACGGGTTGCATGTTAGTCTCCCAGGACGGCGTTAGTGTGCACCGAGCGGAGGAGGAAGTGTCCATCTTGCCGATGAGCGAGAGAGAGTCCGCGAGTGACTGAGATAGAGGGCGCATCCTTGAGCCTCTCTCATCCCGGATGGGGCGCAGCTCACTTCCGCAACCTCACACTGAGTTCTCGTCTGTCCTGGACCAGGTTCCAGCCCTGAGAATATCACTGGCTCCGAGTGCAAGCTCAGTCCGTCACACACACGCACGAGGTCGTATTAAATGGCTGCCCTGGGCTGAGAGTGGTGACAAACCCTCCTTTCCTGAAATGAGTACTGTGCTGGAGACAAGATGTGTGTGTGTGTGTGTGTGTGTGTGTGTGTGTCTAACTCGATTCCTCCACCCAGAGAGTGAATGAGAGAGAGAGTGTCACGTATACTGCACCAGGTGGGTCCTGTACACACACACACACACACACACTCAAGGACATGCACCAGTGCCCTGGCTCCACCCAGCCCTGCACCAAACCCTGCGAGGGCTGGCTGGCGACTGACGCTCTGTGATGAATGTCCTTTTTAATGTGCAAATGGACCGCACGCTCGGCCACACACCGTGTGCCAACCTCTTTTTATAGACCATCCAGGACGAAAAAAAAACAACAAAAAACAAAGCCTTGATCTTCTCCATTACATCCGTCCTTCAGATGTTTTGTCCAAGAAAAAGTTTGCCACAAATTAAAAGGTTTTTAAGCGCTCCATGAGCCAGTGTTGTTATTGTCACCTAAAACTAATAACTAATAAGCTGAAATATATAAAATACAAATATGAGATGAAAAACTTAGAAAGACATAAGAAAAATAAGAAAGGTTGCATTGGCAACTAACTGAAATAAATATGTTGAAGTGGAAATATCGCAATAGAAACTAATAAAAATGACAAAAGCACAAAACAAAAATGCTAAAACAAACTAAAATGTACTGAAAAAGATATAAAAATAAATTCTAATAAGTATGAGATTAATAAAACTAAAATAACATTGTCATAAGTCTTAATTTATGACAGCATCACATCACCACTAAGAAAATCAATGTCACCAACTTTAATTTAATTTAAAAAATAGTATGCATTAAAAGAATGACAAAGTGTGAAAGTATAGTTACAAATTAAATGGGGTATTCACTGCTGAAAATTCACTGGGAGTTTTTATAAAACTTGGCTGTCAATACAGTAAAATGGGAAAAAAAATGTAGAGATCGCATAAATAGAAACTAGAGGCATGGCATTCCCTTTCTGCCAAAAACTTCATGACCCATTCGTTAGACTTTTTCTGACAACAGCTACACTCACCAAAAGGATTATTAGGAACACCTGTTCAATTTCTCATTAATGCAATTATCTAATCAACCAATCACATGGCGGTTGCATTTAGGGGTGTGGTCCTGGTCAAGACAATCTCCTGAACTCCAAACTGAGGCTATGTTTACACGGAAAGGATCTGAAGAGAAAACGCAAAAGTGGCGTTGCATCATCACTTTTTATTCTGCGTTTAGACGAGCGTTATGGGTGGGAAATCTGCGTGCATATGGTGACGCAAAAGTGTGTGAAATTTGATGTAGTATGCACTCTAGACAGCTAGGTGGCGATGTAAAGCACTGCCACACAACACCACCAAGTCCGCGCGCCTGCGTACAACCTTCACTGTCTAGCAGACTTTTCCGTTTTTACCCTTTACACGGGAACGCGGCGGTGGAGCGTTTTTAAGATTTCCACTCTGGAGGGTGGTTTCACTTTTTGCGCTTTAAAGACCCCAAAACGCCGTCGCCGTGTAAACGAAAGGCACAACCGATGAAATATTTTTACATTTTCACCCGCAAGCGTTCTCGTGTAAACAGGGCCTCAATGTCAGAATGGGAAAGAAAGGTGATTTAAGCAGTTGAGCGTGGCATGGTTGTTGGTGTCTGAGTATTTCACAATCTGCTCAGTTACTGGGATTTTCACACACAACCATTTCTAGGGTTTACAAAGGATGTTGTGAAAAGGGAAAATCATCCAGTATGCAGCAGTGCTGTGGGCGAAAATGCCTAGTTGATGCGAGAGGTCAGAGGAGAATGGGCCGACTGATTCAAGCTGGTAGAAGTAGTTGTTCCGATTCCGATACTTGTATCGGAAATGCCGTTGATACCAATAAAAATTCTGGCATCGGTATCGGCGAGTACTTCTACCCATGTACCGATCCGATACCCTTTTCTTAAACAACAACTAGTTATGTACGCCAGCTTTGCTTGACGCTGCAAATCAGAGATCAATTCATCTTCGTATGCTTTAAAGCAGCGAAGAAGAAAGCGCGCGTTAGCAGTATGACTGCTATTTGGCAGCATTTAAGACTGGACCAACCAGCCAGTAAAACGGTGACATGTCTCATATGCCATACTGGAGTTGAGGGGTGGCACAAGATTAGCAGCTTGAAGATGCGTCACCCCGCAGAACACGATGGCAAGGGCAGAGAAGGATGAGCCGCGCCAGAATCAACAATCTCTGGAAGCTTCATTCATTTTAAACGAAGAGAAAAGTTCTCAAAAGACAGCCAACGAGCGATTAATATAACGCCGCTGTCAAAACTGAAATGCCGTGTCTTTAACGAAATTGTTTCTGGACTTTAAGTTATAAAGAGGTTATTTTCTTATATTACTCATATATCATTTTTTTAGATTCCTACATTTATTTGTTGCACTTTTTTATACGGTTATATTGTAAATCTAAAATAGTTTTTTTTAGTTTAAAGTATTAGATGTGTGGCTGCATTTTAAGTTATTTTTCATTTATTTTTCTTAAATAATATATTGCTGTGAAATGTGTCAGATAATAAAAATACTCTAGTTCACTGTATGTATTTGTTCATTAAGGGATAAGTCTGAAGCACACCATAAAATAATTCTATCAATTCATACAGGGCTAGTAAGAATTGTATAGATACAGATATACACCAAGATATCGGATGAGTACTCAGTATTGGCAGATACCCTGAGTCCAGGTATCGGAATCGAGAAGAGAAAAAGGGTATCGGAACAGCTCTAGATATAGGAAAAAGAGGCGACGATTTGCAAGAGCTCACCAAAATTGGACAGTTGAGGACTGGAAAAATGTTGCCTGGTCTGATGAGTCTCGATTTCTGTTGAGACATTCAGATGGTAGAGTCAGAATTTGGCGTAACAGAATGAGAACATGGATCCATCATGCCTTGTTACCACTGTGCAGGCCGGTGGTGGTGGTGTAATGATGTGAGGATGTTTTCTTGGCACACTTTAGCCCCCTTAGTGCCAATTGGGCATCGTTTAAATGCCACGTCCTACCTGAGCATTGTTTCTGACCATGTCCATCCCTTTACGGCCACCATGTCCCCATCCTCTGATGGCTACTTCCAGCAGGATAATGCACCATGTCACAAAGCTCCAATCATTTCAAATTGGTTTCTTGAACATGACAATGAGTTGCCTGTACTAAAATGGCCCCCACAGTCACCAGATCTCAACCCAATAGAGCATCTTTGGGATGTGGTGGAACAGGAGCTTCGTGCCCTGGATGTGCATCCCACAAATCTCCATCAACTGCAAGATGCTATCCTATCAATATGGGCCAACATTTCTAAAGAATGCTTTCAGCACCTTGTTGAATCAATGCCACGTAGAATTAAGGCAGTTCTGAAGGCGAAAGGGGGTCAAACACAGTGTAGGTATGGTGTTCCTACTTAACATGGAGAAAAATGGAGTGACATTGTAATAACGCAAAGAGGGTTAAAAATCTGCAAACTTATACTTTAAGTGAAGTTTATTGATTGCATGAAAACTGACTGTTTTCTGCCCTTTGACCATCAGCAAAATTTTACACCTTCTACAATATCTGACCAACATGTAAAACGACCAACTGCAGTTGTTTTGCCTCATGTGGAAAACAAATGAAATTTGTGTAGAATAAAAAAAAAAAGGTGTCTATCAACAGTACATGGAGCGTCGCTCTTTGCAGAGGTAACTTCCTCGTCAAATCTGAGGAATAGTCAATCTGTTTACACCGGCATGAGCATGCCCAGTGTAGGTGAATGGTCACGTGATCCGTGTTTTCAGTCGTTTTAATGTGGACGGAGATCAATTCTAATATGCAGCTAAAACGCTGGTGTGGACGGAGATCGTATTCGTTTTAATTCTCAGTTTCTAAATTAAAACGCAGTAGTGTGGATGGGGCCTTAGAGTTTGAACATTAACTTCATGGTTACAGTTTTCATTATTGATGTGAACTGGCCTTTAGAGTTTCTGTCCGTCCAGAACGATTATTTCACAGTAGTTATTCCACAAAAGTACTCAATTTATCAACCTAATTTGTGTCCAGCTAGAACTAAACAATGCTTCATGTGCCCCATTTCTACACTGACATGAACTACTGCCTCAGATTGTCTAACCTTTAATGTATGGGTGTTATTATAATGGATATAGGGGTGGGCGATATGGAAAAAATATCATATCACAATTTTTTTAGGAAAATCACGATCACGATTTTTTATCACGATTCTTTTTCAAGTTGGTTTTAATATTTTTAATTGGTTTTAAGTGACTGTTCATTACAGCCAAAATAATGTCCCTATGTTAAAAACAAAGCCTTAGGTAACAAAAGAAAAAAAGAAAGCCACACATTTAGGCCAGTGGCGAAGATAAAAATCTTTGTCATTATTTTCTTTGTTATTAAAAAAATAAGACAAGATAAACATTACACAAATTAATATTCAAATTAAATAAGTGCTTTATTTTTTCAAATGCAGTAGGTGTATTTAGCAGTTGCATTGAAGTAATTAAATGAACAAATATGAAATTAAAACACTACATAGACTTCACTGAATAAATTGATACTTATTAAAGATATATTTAAGTTCTCAGTCAGTGAGTGATTTTCTCCTTGTGTTTTTTTTTATTATTAACACTAAAGGGATATAGTTCCCTCAAAAATGAAAATTGTCTAAATTTACTCTCTCAAGATGTTTTAAACCCAAATAAGTTTCTTTCTTCTGTTGAAAATAAAAGTTATTTTGAATAATGTGGGTAAGCGAACAGTTGCTGGTCCCCTTATAGTTTTTTTCATAGGTTCTCTCCTGGAAGTTAATGGGGACCAGCAACTGTTTGGTTACCCACATTAAAAAAAATTGTCTTTTGTGTTCAGCACAAGAAAGAAATTAATACAGGTTTGGAACAACATTAGAGTGAGTAAATAATGCCGTTTTTTTTTTTTTTTTTTGTGAACTATCCCTTTAAGGACAAGCGGCAGTAGGCTACTATTTATTCCTGTTGCTTTTAGACCAGCACGCGACACGTTTAATATAGACGCATATTACACCAGATATTCTCTCAAATGTTTTCTTTCACTTTAGACATAGCCTGTTTATGTAAACATTGTGTGTATTAAACAGTACTAGCTTAATAAGACTCGAGAGAACATTAGTCCAGTATTCAGGCGCTGTTTGACAGACTTCTAGTGCCTGTGAGCGTCGGGGGTTTGCGGTCAGGAAAGCGCACGTTAGAACAGCGGATCAGCGCGTGAATTAAATGTTTAACCGGCAAGGCTTATGCAAATAATGAACTTTTGTGAATTGCGGTGTCCCGTACCTATTCATTAACGTGTGATCATGTGTAGGCTATGTCGCGTTGTACAGTTGAGAGACGGAGGCGCCAGAACTGAACTGATAGAATGCACTGGAACACGATACTACGATATTTCTTCAAAAGCAGATCGTGGAGACATTTTAATCGTCCACGATTAAAAATCGTCATATCGCACACCCCTAAATGGATATTTTAAAGGTAGAGTGCAGTGCATCCACTTAAATATTGAATATTGCAGTAGATTTCATTAAGACAGAATGGCAGCATATTAAAGTGGTTAAGAAGCACTCACCTCTCTGTATGGTAACATGGCAGATGACACAAACCCTGGCCTCTTTATCCAGATATTTCAGTCTGCATTTACGGTTGCAGCAGCCAGCACAGTACACCTGCAAAGCAGACAACATTATTTACTCAAAACACTGGGTAAACGCAGTACTTCATCAAGCATAAACCTGGAGAAAACTCTCTAGTGTCCTTTAGCCCATTTTATTTATTGCCCCAATATGTCATGAAAACGGCAACTCGGTGCAGCAATTCAAGCTGGAAACTATATCAGCGCTAAAAATACATCCTGCTGACCCAGCAAATCTGCATCTTTATTTAGCACCTCCAGTGGAGAAATAAACCCCACACTGACGTAATAAAAACAAAAGAGACCTCACAGTCACACCAATGGACAAAATGAATACTTTTGCTGTCTAAGGCAGAGAACTACAGGTTTAAGGCTTTCCTGCGGTTATAAATAGACAATAACTAACACAACGGCAGGACTGTGTCACAGATCTGTGCTAAAAAAATCAAGTCAGCTGACAGCATGTAAATTCATTGATTCACACTGCGGTTATTTGCCTTTCACCTCTGAAAGTCAGAACACATTCAACAACTACAAAAGTTACAAAGTCACTTTAAGAACTGAAGCAAACACATTACTAAGCGTCTAAGTAAGTTTATTTATGCCAAATAAACTCTGACCGGGTGAAAGGGGATTAGTTTGTAATAATGACCGGCTGACTGTACATATATTGCTTATTATGTGGATACTCACACCATAAATAATAAATGAACATGAAATATTTATTTGAGTTTAAACTATTTTGTTATTTGAGAGGAAAGAGCACAGAGTAATATTGTAGACAATCAAATCACTTCTCTGGGACAATTGCCAAATATAGAGTTTAAAACAAACTTAATTTTTTTTTTTTAAATTCATAATAATAATAATAAATAAAATAAATAATAAAATAATAATAAATTATAAATAAACAACTATTAACAAACTTCATAATAAAAAATAAATAAATAAACAACTATTCAAAGCCTCTTATTCTCAAACAAGGCTGAATTTATTTGATCAAAAACAGTAATATTGTGGAATATTATAATAATTTCAACTATTTGTTGACTATATGTGAATATATTTTTAAAATGTAATTTATGATAAATTTTCAGCATCATTACTCCAGTCTTTAGTGTCACATGATCCTTCCGAAATCATTCTAATATGCTGATTTGGTCCTCATTTCTTATTATTATCAATGGTGAAAACAGTTGCTGCTTCATATTCTTGCAGAAACCATGATACAATTTTTTTCAGGATTATTTGTTTAACAAAAAGTTTAAAAAGAGCAGCATTTTTTTAAAACAGAAATCTTTTCTTATGAACATTATGAATATCTTTACAGTCACTTTGATCAATATAATGTTTGTTTCCATGCTGAATAAAAGTATTAATTTCTAAAATCTTACATATACATATATTTTGCTGTACCGTACATACTGAGAGATAACAAACCCACCTTTCCGCATGCTCTGCAATGGTGTCTCCTTTTAGTAAAGGTAAATTTTTGTTCACAATTCATGCAGTTAGGGGCCTCAGAGTCAGGGACCCACGGTGGCTGCTTTGATCCCAAACCCTCGGCCTCGAGATCTGCCGGATCGACGGATGACTCCAGAGTCTCTCCTGGGTACGGTGGAGGCTCTGAGAGCTCATCGTGCCCGTAACTGGCATCATATTGCTGATAAGAGGGAGGTTCACAGTCATTTTCATCTCGGTTGGGCGAAATTAGCGAGTCGTTCTCCGCAGCAGGACCTGCCGAATCGGCTTCAGCACGAGTGCTTCTGTGTCTTTCCGACGGAGGACGTACGGTTTGGTTGGACGACTGCTTTGGTCTCGCCCCGCCGTAATTTAACTCTCGGTTGGGGGAGCAAACTGACTGAATCTCAACAGAGCTGGTTATGTTTTCATGGCTAATTGTTTGAATGGAGTCCGTTCTCAGAGGGCTGCTGTCCTGAGACGAAGAAGAAACGTTTGAACCCTCGCTCTCCTCCAGATATTGAAGCGAGCCATCGCTCTCAGGAGAGGCAAATGTGTCAACTTTACAGCTCTGCAATTCCTCATCTAAATAGCCATCGGCATTTCCGTTAAATTCTGAAAAACCGTCATCTGCGAATTTTTCAGCATCAGCGTCAGAGTCGATTTTCACACCCTGACCCATTAGAAAGGCATCCAGCTCCTCATCCGTGACCATCATCCCGGTCTGGTCACTTTCAGGAAGGTAATCGTTAGAGATACCGAACTCGTAGGAATAATTTGGGCTCTCTGAATAGGGTGGTGACAGGTTGCTTTCACACATATCTCTACGGGTTAGTTTATCTGTAGGCGAAAAGGTGCGCTTAAAGTTTCTTTCAGGGTAATGGCCCGAGACAGCAGACGCCCTCTCGGGGTTCGACATGATCTGGACTAGCTCAGGTTCATCTTCAGGTGAGGAATCAGGCCGACTGGAGGAGAATGGATTTACAGGCTCTTCTAAAGGAAGAATTAACTCTTCGGCCTCTCGAATTGCTGAATTTATTTCCAGTTCATCCTCATCTTTGGTTTCGATCACTGCTGCCTTTTGAGGCTCTAAAGACGCCACGAGAGATCCACACATAGAAACGGCCATCGGCAAACAAGACAGGGAAGATTCCTTCTCCGAGGAGGGACTTCCAGCCAAATCTTCTGGATTTTGGACACCAGCATCTTCAGACAGTTGTGCATCTTTTGAATCCGGCTGGAGCGATACAGCATGCTCATCATTCAATACTGTAATATCTCCATCTGTAGCATTGGGAATTAAATTACTGGCATCTTCCTCATTCATTGGATTGCATTGAGAATTGTTCTGATCACTGAAGCTTGATTCTTCAGGACTTTCCATCTGTTTGCACTCCAAAGTTGTGGTGCTAGTTGACCCATGAGGGTCACTAAAGGCCGGTAATATGACATCCAGCAGACTGAAGGAGTTGGAGTTAACCTCAGAGTCATGTTTTGGTAATTCACCAGAAAAATCTTCTGGACAAGATACTACTGGACTCTCGAAGTCCACTAGAAGCTCCTCATTAGTTTCCTTCTCAGGAACGTCCAGCTCTTTGAAGTCTTCCTGACTACTGTCTTGCTGGAGGTTTGCAGAACCCGTATCATTCACCAGGTCACACACAGGCTTCAGCGACCGGTCCGGACAAGGAGGAGCCGAGTTTTTGATACCTCTGCTGTCGACGGAGGACAGGAGGTCCACACCTGTGAGTGGCCATTCATTTGAATAAGAATCTTTTTGATTTGGGGTAATACTTTGTGATGTAAGTCCATAGTGCAGAGCGTTGACATCTGGGAGTGTTTGAGAGACCTCTGGTATGAAGCTCTGAATATCCAAATTGTGACCTGGGATGAACGTGGACTCGGGACAAGGAGCGCTTGCATATGTGGTGGGCTTGTTCTCAAGCTCCTCTGAGAACAAAGTAAAACATTAAATTAATTTATAATATAGTTTACGTCAAAACATCAACAGTAATAAAAAAACAAACGATATGTAATGATATCATAAAACTGACAACCTTTTAACTGCTAACCTTTTAACATGACACTTGTCACTTTTTTATTGTCCCCATCAATCACTAATTAGGGGTATCAAGCGAATGCTTAAACACACAAAATTCATCCTGGGAAAACCATTTTAAAATTAGACATCACCATAACCATGCAAACAGTACTTTTCTTCGCTTTGGTACTATTTTACTACCTATTGGGCGGTGGCATCAAATTCAAATTTGGAACACAACTTGGTTAAACATATAGCTTTGATTTTCTAGCAAATGTGCAAATTATTTATTAACTATAAGATCATTCAGCATATATGCAAGATATAGTTTTTGCTTTAATGATATTAGTTTTTGCTTTATGAAACTAGCTATAAGATTTAAGAAGAATTCTCTTCATGTTCATCAAGGCTGCATTTATTTGATCTAAAATACATAAAAACTGTAATATTGTGAAATCTGATTTCTATTTAAATATATAGTAAACTGTAATTTATTCCTGTGATCAAAGCTGAATTTACAGCATCATTACTCCAGTCTTCAGTGTCACATGATAACAGTTAATTATTATAAATGTTGAAAACATAGTTGTGCTGCGTCATAATTTTGTCGAAAACATTAATACATTTTATGATTCTTTGATGAATAAAAAGAGCAAAAGAAAAGCATTTATTTTAAACAGAATTTCATAAATGTAGTGTGTGTATCTACAATTTGAATTCAGGAGAAATTAGACACTGGTCATTGAAATGAAAATGAATTAACCCCAAATGTATTGTTGTGCCCTCACCAATTGAGAATTGCAAAATGAATATTTGTAACACTATTATATGGGTAAAGCAAAAATGTCAAACCTGCATTGAGTTCAAAGTCATCCAAAAGCTTGTCCAGGTCGCACACAGCAGCCTTAAAATAACTGTCCATCCTAGGACGGGAAAAGATACACCTCACTTACCCCTGCAGAGAAACTGGGGCAGATGGGACAGAAGTTAAAAATCACACATTTTTTCCCCCAAATCTGACTAGGTAGTTACAAACACTGGATAGTCAAAATCAGAAACAAATAGACACGCATTTCTCAATGCTTCAATAAATGAGTAACAAATAAGTAGGGAGAAATATCTAAGCTATGAATTATGCATAATGAGCAAAACCAAATGTAACTGAATATTTTCAACATCTGTATTAACTCTCTTAGATGTTTAGCTTGTTTTGATTTAGCTACTGTGAAGTGAAAAAGGGAAATGTGATTTCACCAGGTCTGCAGTGCAAATCACACTTGAAAAACACACTATAAACAAGAAAATATGAATACAAAAACAATGTATTTAACATTACTTAATACACACAGAATATGATAACTGTCCAGGATTCATCAACAATATCAACGTTTCCAAAGGGCTGTTAATTATTCATCTAAACGAATAGGATAACGTTCACTTTGTGCTTTTTAGCCTTATTATCTGCTTTAATAATAGTAATACCATTATTTAACTAAGATAAATGGTCAATAATTAACGTTACCCATCTGAATATCATTTTCCTACCTAAAGCACTTTACTGTCAAAAGCTAAGAAAGAACAGCATTAAAACCGTTTTAACACACAATAAAAAGACTATCTTAAAATCAACCCTAAAACAGCATAAATAAGCAGTAATGTATTATTTTCATAAAGTTATATTAGCTGTTCAATTATCATTAGCAATCTGCTAACTAGCTTTTAGCGGTTACCGTCAAATCAAACACAAACAAAAATACACATGAAACGGGAATGTAATTTTTAATGATATCATTCCGCTTCGTTAACTAACGTTACCTTGATAGGTGTCATGGTTCAGTCGTCTTCGTTTTTGCTGTATTCATATGAATTAGTGTATTTCACCATTAGCTGCTCGCTAATATTTTCTGGTTCCTCAGTCAGTGAATTCCACAGTCGCTTGCGCGAGCGACCATTTCCACCCGGCGCAAGAATCACTATTTAAAGGGGACGCGCACTATTTTTGTTTGTGAAGTATTGTTTTTTATTACAGTACGTTAATGAAGGTCTATAAAATGTCATTAACAGTATACTATATACTACTATGGAAGTTTCCTTCACAGGATAAAAAAAAAGATCTTTTTATCTTACATATCTGACTTTTTATAAACTCAGAATATAATATAAAATAAAATAAAATAATATAATATAATATAATATAATATAATATAATATAATATAATATAATATAATATAATATAATATAATATAATATAATATAATATAATATAATATAATATAGACCATTTCACAAGATGTAAACAACACTGGTCCAGAAGCACTTGTTTCAGTTTTTTAACACTATAAAAGCTGGGATAAAATACAATCAACAGAACATTTAAAACGGAATCAAAAAGTTAAACAAACATCTTTAAGATGTTTTCTTTACATGTGAAATAAAGAAAACAGTTACAAACTGAAACAGGAAGTGTTTCTGGACCAGTGTTGTTTACATCTTGTGAAATGGTCTATAATATAATATAATATAATGTAATATAATATAATATAATGAATGCTCTGATCAGGATTTTTGTAGCCGATACGATTTACCGATTTTTTTTTTTTACCGATTTTTTGTCATCATGATCGGTCGAAACCGATCCGATCAGTCAAGCTTTATATAGTAATAAATCTCTTTCTTTGTTGAATGTTCTCTTTTTTTTCAGATAAATAAAACCATAGAAGTTATAATGCTATAGATTTTGGTTTTAACTGAGAATCAAATAAATAAGCACAACAAATTTAAATTTTACAATGAACATTTTAATAAGCCTTTAAAAAGGCTTTTGCAAAACACTATCCATATTAGAATACTTTGGCTTAATAAAGAGCCTAAGCCTTAATGTCAAATTGAGCATAATTACAAGGTGTGTGTAAACTTTGTCCAAAATGTGACTAAGGACAAAAACAAATGGAAACACTATAACTAAATGAACAAAATTATTAGTATGATAGAAAAATTATCAGGAATATTATTCAGAAACTGTTGAGTATTTGTGTCCTTACTACGTCCTAAGTAGTTAAGGCAGAATTCTTCAAACTTTTTTGCATTTTGGGAATAGTCGCTCACCATCAACACCCAAATAATATAATGTAAAATATAAAAATGTTTTTGTTTTGTTTTTCTTGTTTCCAACAGCAACACTAATAAGCAGAACATAAATAAAAGTAGTTCCTTAGTTCACCCAAAAATAAAAAAAAATGCTGTCATCATTTACTCACCCTTAAGTTGTTCCAATGAATTTCTCTCTTCTACTGAAAACAAAAGAAGCTATTTTGATGAATGTCAGTAACTAAATAGTTGACCCATTGACTTCCATATTTTTTCCCCCATATTCAAAGTCTGGGGTCCATCAACTATTTGGTTAACCATAATCTTCAAAATATCTTCTTTTGTTCAACAGGAGAAAGAAATGCATACAGGTTTGGAACAACTTGAGGGTCAGTAGGTGATTTTTGGGTGAACTGTCCCTTTAAGATCCCTCAGCAGTTCGTCAGGAAAAGGTTTTCCTGTTAATTATTGCCACAAGAAGGTGGGGTGGACCATAAAAGATATAATTTGCAAAAGTTATGCAGCTCAGTAACAGTTTGTGTTTCAGCAGAATTACAAAGAGAAAGGAAGCTGGAAATGTTCATTACTGTTCATATTCATTTGAGGCCCAAGTAAGTCATTTTTAAGCTATACATTTCTTAAAATCTTCAATTGTTGCAAGATTTTTTTGTTTTTACCTGTACAACATACATCCTTGTTTCAAAACAGGTATTGAGCAGTGGCATGGATTCTTCCTCTGTGATTTTTTAGTTCCTCAATTTACTGAATAAAAAGTGCTTATCGACTGAGAGTCATTATCTCTTTGGTTTCCCATGTTTTTTTGTTTTTTTTTTTCAGATGTTGTTTGGAAATGAAGCACATGAAGAGATAACTCTTGTTTACACAGTAAACACAGCAAAAAAAGCACTTTGTTTTTCCCAGCAAAAGATGCAGAGTTAGCAAGACGACTGTCCAATACTGAATTCCTGTCCTCATCATTTACAAACGTCAATATTAGACCTAGACATTTAGGCCAGTAAAGACAGCACTAGTTTAAATAAAAAAGGCTCCCATTTCAAAAAATGGGAAACAACATATTCATCATCTGATTTGAATAGAAATTATACTTTGTAATTGAAGAGGAACCAAAAACTATTTCTGAGCCAAATATCGTTGTTTAATAGTACTATTATTTCCAGGGAGCACTATTATTACTTTTTACTTTCATTTGAGCAATTTATTTAATTTTTCTATTACGTTTACCTATATTTTGCTTTTAGATTTTATAGCCTACCCGTCCATGATACAGATCATGCAAATGATGTCACCTGGGAGACTGCACCATCAGCGTGACATTAGCCACCAGTTTCAGTCAGTGTGTCATCATTACAATCTGCGAGAAGAGGAAATACATTTCTGAAATATTAGGAGAACAGGTCAAAGTTTTATCTCCCTCTTCAGGTAAAGTCTTCAAGTCTCTGCTGACGTCACACTCAGGGATAGGCTGCGTCACGTGGTACAACTTTCCAAACCTGTGTGTGTTTCCCGAAAAAAAGTGCAGAGAAACAAAAACCCCTTTGATAGCGGAAAAGGTAAGACGAAACCATCATTAATGTTCATAATATAATCTTTACGTATAAAAACATTATGTATCGAAAACATAAGCGACATTTCTGATCATTGTTGTATTTTTATAAACACATCTGTCTGTCAGTGCTGTTGTTGTCATGTCGTTTAGGTCCACCTTACTTACTAAACGTTCTGCCTTATATTTTAAACATGTCTTAAATAAAGCAGTGATCTTAGTATCGAGAGTGGATATACTCACTATTTGATTATTAACAATCATATAAACTTTGGTAACCTGTTGATCCCGCAGTGTTTTCTCAAGCGCGCGTGGACTGCAGTCCTACATTGTTTCAGTTTAGAATGGAATGGAATGTATGAATAGATATATTGTAGAATTTTAACTGTTTTGGTAATTAGTTACACTGTTGAACTGCTGCCAGCAACGCACCAAAAACGATTACCATGTTCATGTACTATGGTATTTATATATCATACATGTAATTATTAATTACCATGGTGAAATGCATGTCTAAAGAAACATGGTATGTCTCAAAAACACATGGCATTAACTTGGTACTTTTTTGTTAGTGTTATATGATGTACATTGATGTCATATGATGGCTTTTCATTAATGTGTTGATTGCTTTTAATTATATCTACTACACTTCTTGTTACTGTCTTCCAGGCCTTTGAATTCACATTTATCCAATGAAGTTTTGCACACTGAACTCGAGGCCAATGTAAGTCTTGCTGAGTGACTGCGTGTGAAAGGTATTCTATGAAATGTATTTTGTTTTTCCTTATTTGTGATACTTATTATACTTTTCTCTCATTAGGTAAACTATGCTTAAGGAAGAACGTAACATGGAGATTGTTGTTTTCCTTATTTCATGCTGTTGACTCAGAGTTAGTAGTATATGATTACTCAATCAGACATCTAGTGCTTGAACGGGCATGTTCATTTCTCTCTGTGGTTTATCTTGATTCTTTCTCTGTCATGAATGTTTGGGTTGCAGTCGTATCCTCTGTGGGTTTAGAGTTAACGTTCTTGCTGGTGGATGACGGGTTACTGTTACAGTCGCCGCTATGTTCAGGTTACAGAGTTAGATGGACTGACCTGGGGAGCACCGGTGTCAGAGAACATTTATTCTACAATGATCAGTATAAAAACATTTTACTAGATTGAGATTCTCTCGAATACCTGGTCAATCACAGCATTATGTGATTAAATATTGTGTAATTACACTTCACATCCTGATTAGTGGTTGGCCAATATGGATTTTTTTGATGGCCGATGCGGAGAGCATGGTGGCCGATATTGAGCCAATATATATGATACAATATGTTATTAAAATAACATGCATAACAATGGCCACATTGAAATTTAGATTTATTTGACACATTTTACCTATTTAGAAATAACTAATTGCAATATGAATCAGTATAAAACAAATAATTTGAACAACTGAGAACTGACTATTCATTTTATTACTTAAATATTATATACATATGAAGAGTTCAGATGCAAAAGCCTCTAAATGCCATTTGAAATTTTCTTCTTTAATGATGATTTTTATCAAGCTTGTATATTTAAGTTCAGTGATTTCACTTAAATGGCAATGATAATTACCTATTAATTGTTATTTAAGTGAAATTACTGAACTTAAATATACAAGTTTGATAAAAATCATCATTAAAGAAGAAAATTTCAAATGGCATTTAGAGGCTTTTGCATCTGTACTCTTCATATACTTAATATATAATTTAATTGAGCAAGTTCTCTTTTTCATCCCTTTAAGACATTGTTGCTCCTCAGGAATTTGTTTCTTGTACCTCTTCTTGGTATCCTAAATGATGATTATTTGTTTTGATGGCCTTTTATCTGCTTTGGAGAAGGGTTTTTATTTATTTTTTATCTTTCTCTTGTTCTCTTTCACTTGTATAGAACACTTGCATTTCCTGCACTACAAGTGCATTTATCCTTATATCATCAACATTGCCAAAAACTAATATACAAGCAGACAATTTAGCATACTTTGCTACATTTTCTGTAATATGCTCTATAATAGCGATTCTCAACTGTTTTTTTGTTCAGGACCCAAATTTTAATTTTTCATTGCACATTAACTGATGACCCAAAACTGTGCCAGCCCAGAATTGATATAGAAGTAACGACGTCAACAACGGAGGTTATGTGAATCGGGAAGTTCTTCCTATTTAAAAATTGATAAGTCTATTTATTTGTTATCCTAAAGCCCCTTACACACCGGGACGAATATCAGCGCGCGTTATTCGTCAGCGTTTTTCAACTTGTTTTTTGTGTTCACACCCAAGCGATTTTCGCTGACTATGAGCCGAGTGAACATGCAAATTCATTCCCTGACATTAGATGGCGCCAATTTGCTCTGCAATACCACTCCATACCAGTTCCCTTTTATCAAGATGTTTGTAGTCCCTGTTGCGTTTGGCATATAGTTCTTTATGTTCTAACACCAGCGAGACCAGCAGCTCTACATTCATCTTGCCTTCATCCTCATCTTATTTATTCCTGACTGTGTAGACGGCGACACGTAGATCTTCTTCACCGTTGCATGTGTGCTCGGCAAGACCGTTTTGTGTTTGAGCGCCCCCAAGTTGTGTTTTACTGTAGCTTCAGAAGCTCCAAACACGTGAGCAAAAGCGCCAATCTCATTGGTCGGATAGTTTTTGACGCGGTGCGTCAAACTAAAAAAACGAACCCGAGGCGTTTTTTAAAAAAAATGACGCTTTTACATGTGGTGTTTTACGCGTCGGTGTGCACACTCATATTGGCGCCCTTTGTTTAGTCATGAGGCGTTAAACGTCGGCGAATAACGCGCGCGAAATTCGTCCTGGTGTGAACAGGCCTTAAAGATGAAAATTAAAGGCAGATACTCGACCAAACTGTGGAGGAGATTCAATTGAAAAAACCCACATCTAAACTATGCACTATGCTCAATTTTGTAGTCAGACCATGTGACAAATGTTTGGGTCACGAACCACCAGTTGAGAACCACTACTCAACAGAAACAAAAATCAGTTTCCTATATCTTTTCTGAAGCATGTTTACTTCATGTTGCTCTAGGGATAATCGCATTCTTCATTCGGCATTGTGCCTGAAACATGCCCCACTACAACGACGTTCCCACAGGATCGCTTCCGAGTCTTCTCGGCTTGGACGATCACAGGGCGTCTGAGTCTTTACGGTCCGAACCTTTTCCACCACCTCCCCTACCGGACCAACCACCAATAGGCCCAATTGATCTCAGTGGAAGCGACAACGAGGACTCTGCCATCGACATCAAACCCGTCCACCGCTTCATCCCAGACTCATGGAAGAACTTCTTCAGGTCCAGCAGCAGAAGCAGCAAGTTGAAGTCAATGTTGGGGTCGAGCAGCAAGAACGCCACCACTGACGGTGTTCGCTGTTCTCCTCCGCACTCTCCGTCAGTTCCCGGCTCTTACCGCGACCCGTACGGCGGATCCGGAGGCAGTTATAACTCACGTAAAGAGCGTGAAGCAATGCTGCTGGGCAACCCTGTGGAATCCATTGACGGTCGTACGGTGCACACAGCTTTGACGTACAGTGAAAAAGTCGAGGAATACAACCAGCGCTACGACTACATGAAGTCTTGGGCTGGACTTTTACGTATTCTTGGTTGCGTTGAGCTGCTTCTGGGGGCAGCCATTTTTGCATGCGTATGTGCTTACATTCATAAAGACAATGAGTGGTATAACATGTTCGGATACTCGCAACCTGGTGGAGCTTACGGGGGATCCTACGGAGGCTCTTATGGAGGATCTTACGGAGGCGGTTACGGCGGTGCCTACTACACTGGACCCAAGACGCCATTCATACTAGTGGTGGCGGGATTGGCATGGATAGTGACCGTTATCATGCTAGTCTTGGGAATGACCATGTATTATCGAACTATCCTTTTAGACTCAAATTGGTGGCCGTTGACGGAGTTCTTCATAAACTTGGCTCTTGCGCTGCTGTTTTTGGCGGCTGGCTGCGTGTACGTGAATGACACCCTACGAGGTGGACTCTGCAGCTATCAGGTCTTCAATAATGGCATTAATGGTGCTTTCTGTCGCACGGAGGCTGGACAGACGGCGGCTATCATTTTCCTGTTCTTCATCATGATTGTGTACTTGATCGGAGCCATGGTGTGTCTGAAACTGTGGCGGCACGAGGCAGCTCGAAGACAACGAGAACGGCATGGGCAGGAGGTGAGATGTTCTTCAAATCATAAAGTGTTAGTTCACCCAAAAATGTCAATTCTGTCATTAATTTCTCAACCTCATGTCGTTCCACACCCGCAAGACTTTCGTTCATCTTAAAGGGATACTCCACTTTTTTGGGAAATAGGCTCATTTTACCACTCCCCCAGAGTTAAACTTTTCGAATGTATTCAGCCGATTTTTTGATATTTAGAAGAATATCAGTAACCAGACAGTTTCTGGTCTCATTGACTTCCATAGTATATTTTTTTCCTACTATGGAAGTCAATGAGACCAGAAACTGTCTGGTTACTGATATTCTTCTAAATGTCAGAAAATCGGCTGAATGGATTCGAAAACGGTAAAACTCAACTGTGGGGGAGTTGTAAAATGAGCCTATTTCCAAAAAAAGCGGAGTATTCCTTTAAGCCTAGTTCACACTACATGATTTTTAGCCAGATTTAAGCCCGATTTGCAAATCGTTGAGCTCGCCGACATGTCAGGGTGTTATCGCGTGCAAATCGCGGGGGATTAGGGGGCGATGAACGCTCGCCAATCTGTTAGTATGAAAGAACCAACAACGCATCAAAGACGCTTGCAGACGTGTCACAGAGCCCAGAAAAATATCTAGAATGCTAGATATCCAGACCTGTCGCACGACTCAACCTCAGTGATGTCATGAGCTACAGCCAATCAGTGCAAGGCATGGGTTGAGGTCACCGGGTAAATCTTTTTTTGCGTTTTTCTCAGAGCAAATCATCGCGCTAACACTTTCCAGCACTAGTTTCTGTCTGAGGTCCATATTCGCGTGTTGTGTTCTTCTTCTTCTTCGCTGGGTATTGGAACACGTGCCGTTTCGCGTCATTTCCGGTTTGTTTTATCGCGAGATTTTTGTGACAAAACGTGGTTTGTAGACAAGATAGAATCGTTGGGAGACAGAGTTGTTGTTAACTCTTGTAGTGCGTTATCTCCTGTTGCGGATCAATCACGTCGTGTGGTGTGGTGTGAACAGCTTGAACACTCCCGATTTCACAGAGAGCAAGTCATGTAGTGTGAACCGCACAGTTCAGCCCGACGTTTGAAAATCATGTAGTGTGAACAAGGCTATAGGAACACAAATGAAATCAAATGAAAGTTTTGTTTAAATCTGAGAGATTTCTGTCCCTCTATTGACACTGACACTTCAAAAAGTTCATAAAAAGATCATAAAACTAATCCATATGAAGAGAAACAATTGATTTGTATGATGAACAGATAAGCATTAATTAAAGGGTTAGTTCACCCAAAAATGAAAAATAAGTCATTAATTACTCACCCCCATGCTGTACCAACCCCGTAAGACCTTCGTTCGTCTTCGGAACACAAATGAAGATATTTTTGATTAAATTTGATCGCTGTATAACTACCACATTGGCTCCTAGACTGCCTCTTGACGGCCCAGAAAGTCAATGAAGAAAATGTTTAAATATCCCAAGTGACTACCGTGGCTCAACTATATGTTTATCAAGCGACGTGAATACTTTTTGTGCGAAAAAACAAACAAAAATAACGAGTTTATTCGATTATTCCTTTTCTTCCTTGTAGGCCAGAAACGAGACTTCCTTAGATTTCCACGACGCATGCGCGAGAATTGCGATCTCCTTACACTACTGATCAGTTCAGTTCTCGCGCATGCGTCGTGGAAATCTAAGGAAGTCTCGTTTCCTTTAACTTGCACATCAGTTGTGGTAAACGGAAGCTCAACCAATTTCCCTTGACATACGAGAGGTTTGTTTTCCATATCTCATTATGAACTTTTTGAAGTTGCATAGCTGTCAAGTTCTAAGATTTCATCAAACAGATCTTCATTATTTTATATATTTGCTCTTATTTTAGTGAATGATTTCTTATGCTTGATTTGGTTGAGGTTTGTTAGGTTTCCGGTTAACTTGGTTTGAGTTTTTGTCCTAATTAGCAGTGGACAGGACATTTTGTTGATCGCATGATTTCTATTTCTGTTATGCACTATGATGGCTATACTAAACCAGTGTTATTTATTTTTGTATCATTGAGATAATAAATATATAAAATATGCCTAGTCTATATAATAGTTCAGCAAGTGTTATTCATTCATTGCAAAAATGAATAAAACAACAACTGAATCACCTCTACTTCTGTTTTGCAGATGCTGCCAAGAGATTCTCCTGATGCTGTGCGTTTGGCAAGTATTTTGGCTCTATCCGTTCTCCTGTTTACCCATGGTGCACTGCTTATATATAATAATTTAAGAATATAATATAAGAAGTTATATGTGATATATAACTTCAACTCACAGTAGTCAGTTATGCTCTCTTTTTAGTGTTTCCATAAGTGTATCCTTGATTCACAAGCATAAATTTCTATTGCATATTTTTTTAAACGTCCCTCCAAAGGCAGTTATTCTCTATATCAGTGCGCATTGTTTAATATAAAGGGGCGGGGCCTGGTTGAGTTAGTTAGTGGTGTGTTGAAACTGATGGTGGTAAGGGGCGGGACATTTTCCAAACACGCTCGAAGCTCTTGACCAATCACAACACACTGATCCAGCCGGCCAATCAGAGCACATTGTGCTTTTCAGAAGGAGGAGCTTCATAGAGACAGGAACTAAACAGAGCGTTACTGACAGACTGGGAAGAGAGGAGCCGCAACAATGGAGAATATGAGGAAAATAATGTGTTTTTTGAACATTTAAGCATCAAAACCTGTTCTAGTAGAGCCCAAAAAACAAAACCGAGATTTAAAAAAGGGACTAATAAGGCAAACTCCGTTTAACCACAGACCTTATTTCAGACATTTAACCAAAAACCCATAGATTGATGATGGAACCTTGTGCTAAGATGCTTGTTTCTGGGTTTTGGGCTACAAAAATACATCATCCCTGCTGCATTAATAGCCATAAGGCGGATTGGACTCGTCTCGTATATAATATAGTCAGAGAATGTTGTTTGTAATTTTGTATTATCCTCTTCGATATAATAGGTTGTTGATGGATCAAGGGAGCCAATGTCTGTGTCAGCGCCGGTACAGCACACACACACTGCCGCCCCTGGCGTCTCCAAGCCCAAAGTTATGAAAGGGCATATTCCAGCCGGACACACTCCTAAACCTGTGATCATGCCAGACTACATTGCGTGAGTGCCTGCTTCACAATCGTAGTGTGTATTTTATGACCTTGAAATGCTTTTGCTCTTTGATAAATCTCATCCTTGTGTTTTGTCTTTCCCTTCAGTAAATATCCAGCCATTCGAACCGATGAGCAGCGAGACCAATATAAAGCCGTGTTTAATGACCAATATTCTGAGTATAAAGAGCTCCATGCTGAAGTTCAAGTGATATTGAAGAAGTTCGATGAAATGGATGTTATGATGCAGAATTTACCGCAAAACCCCACCAACCACATGGTCAGTTGATGTTCACTTTTGTTACTGTACACTTTCTCTGTTCTTTGTGACTGCTTATATATAGAAACATTAACAAGGCATCTAATCTGTAAAAATCTAATCTAATTTCAAATCTCAATTCATAAAATTACATTGAACCAAAAGCCAGAGAGGAAAAATAAGTCTTCAGTGAGGATTTAAAGCTATTACCATTGTAAATAAAACAAAGATTACTGGAGTACGTTTTCCAAAGAAATACTATTTTAGTCTCTCTACTTGAAAACACGTTTTCATTTAATGTGCTACTGTTTGTAATTATTTGTGAAATTAACTTGAAAAGTAAATCCTACTAGTACACCAATTTTTTCATATGTAATATCTCATTTTTATTCTTAGTTTTTGCTGTATGTTACTTAAATGTTCCCTGTTGAATGTTAGAACAACATTTAATAAATGTTTTGATGCTTCAGCTTTAGAAATTTTGTGAATTTGCTCTTTTCAAAGACAAAATTGATCAAATGTTTAGTCATTACTTAATAAATGCTACAGGAATGAATGTGTGCCCGTTTGGGTTGCACTTTTCAAGTAAAGGATTTTACCTCAAATGTGATCATCATGTTATCAAATCTTTTTCATTTCCTCTTCACTAGCTTGCTTCCTAAATCTAGTTATATAATGAACCTAGTTGTTAAAAATGGTTTTGCTCTTTTGAAAATTGCTTTTGTTCTTCTTTTGTAAATTGCTTTGGATAAAAGCTTCTGCTAAATGCATGACTGTAAATAATGTATTGCAGAAGCACTATTCTAGTCTTCTTAAAAAAATTCTCCCATTTTCTATCTTAGGAGCGTGACCGCATCAACAAAATCCTGCAGGAATATCAGAGAAAGAAGATGGTGAGTTACTGATCGACAATTTGAGAAAACCTACGCCGTAAATATATCTTAGTGGCTATTAAACCTGCATTATGCATTATTTAATCAAAGCTTAATTCATTTAATTCATATTTTTAATATTAAGTTATTATTTTTCCTAATGTCAAAGCCATTATTTACCAGTTGTTTTTTTTTAACCCTCTGGTTCTCTTTGTGTGGCGGTCAAAAATGACTTTCTTTTTCTTTTCTTTTTTCTCAATGAAATGAATGTAGTTCAAGTTAGCAAATGTTTTTCTTTAATATTTAGTATTGTCGGGGATTTTATATTACCTTTATTTAACCAGAAAGAAAACTCATTGAGATTAAAAATCTCCTTTCCAAGAGCACCCTGGCCAAGACAGGCAGCAGCACAATTAAAGGGATAGTTCACCCAAAAATGAACATGATGTCATTAATGACTCTCCCTCATGCCGTCCCAATCCCGTCAGACCTCCGTCCATCTTCAGAACACAGTTTAAGATATTTTAGATTTATTCTGAGAGCTTTCTGTCCCTCCATTGAAAATGTGTGTATGGTATACTGTCCTTGTCCAGAAAGGAAATAAAGACAACATCAAAGTAGTCCATGTGACATCAGTGGGTTAGTTAGAGTGTTTTGAAGCATCGGAAATACATTTTGGTCCAAAAATAACAAAAACTACGACTTTATTCAGCATTGTGTTGTCTTCCGGTTCTGTTGTGGATCCGCGTTCAGTGACGCGAAAAAATATTTAAAATATCTTTTTAAAGATGACACTAGGCAGATTATTGCTGAAGTAAAAAAAGTTATAAAAAGTCATAAAATTTATGTTTATGGTTATGAAAATGCGCAAAAATACTATTTTACATTTTTAGACGAAATATATTTTCAAAAGCATGGTTTACTCTAAAACTATGAGAAAATCAAAGCTATGAATAAAAAAAATGGTGTGTTCCAAATTCGAGGTTGATATCTTAAAAAAATTGTTTCAGTTTGTTTCTTAAAAAAGTTTCAGTACCAAAGGTTTCCAGTAACAGTATTCAGTTTCTAGATAACATACGTTTCCCTTTCATTTCCAATGCCTTAATTTTTGACCGCGAGGAGCACAACACGACGGTGACATTTGTTCAGCACCTTTTAACCTTTTTAAATAAAATGATTTTTTTTTTTTGGTCTGTGGGTGTTCACACTGTAACTGCCAAAATCTATACCAAGTTTTATACCATTTATACGCGGTAATATTAATGGAAATATTAGTGGAAAAACAGCACAGGCCATTGTGTCACTCGCAGCATCATACATGAGCTAGATGAGAAAACAATATTATTTTGATCATCATATTTTTGTTTTGGTGGCTTAATGCTACAAATATTCTAAATTTTTCATTCATGAGGGTCATGGTAATTTTATTATACTCTCAGCTCAGCTTAACACATATTCCACATTTAAATCCTTTACCCAGAGAGAATTCTCCTGCCTTCCCCCAAAACTCAGAACAGAAAATGTAAAAAAGGTCTGCAGATTCTGTGTGGGCCCGTACAGGCGGGACGTTTTGTCTAGATGTGTGGCTGGTTGATTTATAACATTGTGAAGAGCGAGTGGAGGAAGAAAGGAAGGAGGATGAGGAAGGGGTGGAGGCTGTTTTTCTCACAGGAGTTGCTCTATTGTGTCTATTCAAGAGGAGGAAATAACTGTAGTCACCCAGAGCACTCAGTGGCTTCTCTATAAAGACAGTTTGAGCCGTATTTTGAGTGATAAACATCAGGCAGTCAAGACTCTGTTTTTGTGATTCTCCAGCAATTTAAATCACTGTGTATAAAGAAAATGTTTAGTTCCCACTCTTCATCCGACTGGGATGGTGGTCTTATTTATGTCTCTTTTTATCCCAAGGATCCCTCATTTCTAGAGAAGAAGGAGAGATGTGAGTATCTGAAGAACAAACTGTCCCATATCAAGCAGAGGATTCACGAGTACGACAAGGTCATGGGCTGGAACGACGGTTACGGCTGAAGCGGCTCAAACCTGCTGTCATGGTCCTTCATTTTCCACTGAACATGTGCCCACTGCGTCTGCAGAGCCTCGCTGGTCTGGATGGTCGTTTATATTAAAAAATAATGAAATTAGAGATGGATAACTTGCATGCTCTTAATGTACGCTTTAAACACTGACTGAAAATACTTTCTTTTCACGTTGTATTTCATAATGCTGAAAAAGTGCATGATGTTTAAAGAAATGTTTCATATTTTGTATCTATGCAGAAATGCTGTTTTTATCCGTTCATTTGAATGATTTTATGCACTGTACTATTTTTTTTTTGTGCTACTGTTTTAAACTGTGTTTCGATCTGTATAACAACAGCCTGTCGCCCTGTCCTCATATTTTCTGTGTTGCAAATGCATTTTGATGAGTTGAATCTGTGATTTATACTGTAAAGCATGAAAAGTCAAAGCATTTCATACAGATTTGTTGTAATTTAGTTTATCTTTGAATAAAAAAAGTCCAGCCGGGAGGCAATTTAGACATTTCACGCATGTTAATAAGAAATGCAGTAGCAAGCTTGCATGTTGTCTAGCATTTTGATGTGTTCAGTTCACTTCTCTTCTAAGCATCCACAATGTTCACTTCCTTGACAGATAATGTCTAGTATACACTTTCATTTCCCTCTGGTGAAACATAAGCATAGCAACATAACGTTTAAGAACACTTTCGTAGATATTTGGAAAAAAAAAAAATCCTTCAAAAAAATCAATTGAACCTATTAGAATAAAAAGTAGCCTACATGTAATGCAGCAATAAATTGTGACATTTTACACTTTTTCTCTGAAGTGTATTTAGGCTACAGTTGCTTTTTGTGTAAGTAGATTAAAATAAAGATATATCTGCAACAGTGGCCATATACATGTCACCACACCGCTGTTAACTTGCGTGTTTCTTACCGCAGACTCATACTTATCTGTATGTCTTTAACTTGATACTAGACGATCCCTCTCATGGCTGTGTTTCAAAATCTAATATGCTGCCTATCTAGAGAGCATGTTTAGGTACCATTGAACATTCTTTTGAGGAATTATAAACTTTTTTTGCATATCTGTATAAACATGAAGCTATCTAGCCTAGGTAGACAGCTCACTAGGTTTTGACATTGGGTTTTGAGCATAGGATTTGAGTCTCTCTCTCTTAGGTGTGTGCGTGTGGGTGGGGTTTAATCGTTTTAAGGACAGGTTGTTTGTCTCACCTGAACAGTGACACACACGGAACACCAGTGCTAGAGAACACAAACAGGTGAGAGTGAAACTCCAATAAATAGTTCATAATATAAGCCGTACAATAATCATAATAGTATTTTTTATAAGCCTATCTGCGTTAATTATCAGATGATCATGGCTCCAATCGTTCAAATTTACCTCAGAAACTCAATCGCGTTTCCGCCTCATTTGTTAGTGAAGAGTCGGAATCTGTCGTCTCCACTTGGCTTATTGTAACTCTATTAAAAATGTGGATATTATATTTTTATACTGTGTTCGTGGAGTTTTACACACTAATGGTGTCTTTAATTATTTTCCTTTTTATGATGACGAATGAGGTTTATTTGATAGCCTAAATTAGGTGTATGAAGTAGCCTATAGTTTTATATTTATATTTATTAAAATTCACGTTTTTTTCTTCTCTCTTTTCAGAATGTCTTCGAAACCACACGGGAGTCCTCCGCCCTATGATTATCAAACTGAGAACGGATAGTAAGTTTTGAGTTTCACCTCAGGGTTTCTCTGGATTATGTTACACGTATGCCTATATGCTTTTTTTTTTAATTATTATTTTTTAAATTATTATTTTATTTTATCCATGACCTTTGTCGTTGGAAATAAATAAAGACCTCAAAATGGATTGTTCAAATTGGGTTCGCCTTTCCCTCAAACATTAACGTTAGTCTGATTTAGCCTGTGTTGTAACAATTTTCAAAAGTAGCTTACTGGGAGTGCTAATAATAATTTTCTCCAATTGCTGGTAACCAAAATTATATGATAGTCCATGTATATAATGTCTTTTTGTTTTTAAGCAATTTATCATTCATACTAGAACATTTAAAATGTAAATTGTACAAAAATAGATTGATTTAAATGTGTTTATTTTTTTACTTTATAACTGATTATCGATTTTGAAACCTGACTTGTAGCCTAATATATCATGAAAATGTAATATATATCTATCGATCTTTCTATCCATCTATCGTTTTATTTTTTGTTCCATCTTTCTATTGTTTCATCAGATCTATTTTTCTAAAATTCTATTTAACATTCGATCTATTTTCCATCTAGATTATTCATTCTAAAACCAATGGTTGGGATTTTCCATAGTTGTACAGAACATGGGTTAAAACAACCCGCATTTAAGGGTGTTGGTCATCATACCATAAAAATATTGGTCATTGTATTATTGTGTCCCCAAAACCGAATGCGTTTTCAACATCTTCTCTGCAGTAATGTTGCCTCGCAGTCTCAGCCTGCGTACTCGTACTACCCTGACGATGAGTTCCAGCACTTCTACCGCTGGACGTCTCCGCCGGGCATCATAAAGATCATGTCTGTGCTGTCCATCATCCTCTGCGTGGGCATCTTCGTGTGTGTGGCCTCCACTCTGGCCTGGGACACGGATGGCGCAGCGGCGGGATTCGGAGGATACGGAGGAGGCTCTTATGGTGGCGGCTATGGTGGCAGCTACGGTGGTGGCTACGGTGGTGGCGGCTACGGTGGCAGCTCCTTTGGCGGTGGCTATGGGGGAGGAGGATACGGTTATGGGATCCTAGGATCTCAAAATGACCCCAGGCAAGGGAAGGGTTTCATGATCGCTATGGCGATTATCACCTTCATCGTTCTGCTCATCATCTTCATCATGATCATCTCACATCAGAAATTGTCCCAGGGCAGGAAATTTTACCTGGCCGTCATCATCACCAGCGCCATCATGGCCTTTCTCATGTTGGTTGCTTCCATCGTCTACCTGGTGACCATTTACCCAATGGCGCAGTCGTCCGGATCTGTTCAGTTCAATCAAGTGTACGCCATGTGTGCCGCTTACCAGCAGCCTCAGATGTCGGGTGCGTTCGTGAATCAATATCTGTATCACTACTGCGTCGTGGATCCCCAGGAGGTGAGCACAATGTTGCACACAGACAAAAATTAGGTGTAGAAACCATTTTCACTCAGAAATTAAAGTACTAGTAAATTAGTAACAGTTGAGTGGACATATTTAATCAAAGTAGTGTCTTCTTTCTGTCTCTCATCCAGGCAATCGCTCTTGTTTTGGGCTTTATTGTCACCGCAGCCCTCATTATCATCATGGTTTTTGCCATTAAAACTCGCCAAAGGATCAATTATCATGGGAAGGACAACATCCTATGGCGCCGTGTGAAAGAAATCCAAGACCAAAACTCACAGCCGGATGTGGAGGGTTGGGTGAGTACGATAGTCATTGTTCAGGAGAATCCGTGCAGTTACGTTTCATTAAAGGGATGGCTCACCCGAAAATAAACATTTTTCATTTACAAAATATCTTTTGAAAAATGTCTGTAACCAAACAGTTGATTGACTTCAATAGTATTTTTCTTACTACACTGTGGAAATCATTGGGGTCCATCGACTGTTTGGTTACCCAAATATCATCTTTTGTGTTCAGCAGAAGAAAGAAATTCATACTGGTTTGGAACGACTTGAGGATGAATAAATGATGATCGAATTAAAATTTTTGGGTGAACTGTCCCTTTAAAGTATCAGCCGGTCTCAAATGTTTCTCCTTGGGTAAAATGTCTCTAACTAGTCAATAGTTAAGAGTATACAGATATTAAAATGAATGTGGATTGCAGATCAGATCATGTTTGTTCATTTTGAGTTTGAGACATTGTTGAGATCTCTTGTGAAACTCTAGAGGAGACATCTCGCATGTGATATTACTGGGTTCTGCTTCTCAAGAGGGAAAAACTTGGGAAATATCAGGGAAATCTGCAGCCCTGGAAAAGTCCTTGTATAAATTACAGATTCAAAATGAATCAATTATAAATAATAATCAAGCAATTATTTTTAATCTTCACAAATAGCCATGGAAGTGTCATGGAAATTCTTATAGTAAAAAAAACAAACAAACAAAAACACACACACAAAAATATATATATATATACTGTATATAAACATTAATGTGAACTAATTTAAATTATTTTGTATTTGCAATTTTTTCATATATATTTATTTAAATAAAATTGCAAATACAAAATAATTTAAATTAGTTCAAATGTTTGTTTATATATATATATATATATATATATATATATATATATATATAATAAATAAATTAATAATAAAGAAGAAATAAGAAAATAAATAAATAAATGAAATGAAATATATATATATATATATATATATATATATATATATATATATATATATATATATATATATATATATTTATAATGCATTAAACATCAAATAATACAAAGTAGACGCTTAAAGGTTGCTATAGATAGATCATCTGTATTTCTTATGTCTGTGTGTCAAGTAGACTATTCGCTGCGTTTTGGTTGATTTTTGTGTCACGCGTGCGCTAGAAAGGAGACAGAGACGGCATAAACACGCACGCATCCTGTTGTTTTTTTTATTTTTAAAAGGTAGGCTATGAGATTTTGTAGTCATTTTCAATGTAGCCTATAGGCCTAAAAAATGGACATGGGGGTGGTAACACAGAAACCTAATAGTGTTGTAAGGATCACTCCTCTACAAGCCTTTGTCCTGCAACTCTTAGTTGTCTATTGTGACTTGAAAGACTATAATTTGGTCTTTTCCATACAGAGGGTGTATTCTACTCAAGATGGAGGACATATCTGCACCTGGGCTCATTTCTGTTGGCAAACAAAGAGTTATTTAACTTCCTGCAGTCTCCTCGTAGCACAAACCTGTTTATTTGTGGCAGTCTAGAAATGTCAGTCTGGTTTTGAATATAGATGGCATGTGTGGTTAATGTGCAGTTGGTGGACAGACCTGTTTGTGTGTGTGTGTGTGTGTGTGTGTGTGTGTGTGTGTGGTTGGGGGAGGGAAGCGCTCGTCGTTGGTTTCTGGGTGTGGTTTGTTGTGACAGTTTCAGTCACATAAATGTGCTCGATATCTTAATGCTGCTACAGAGAGGCCTTTTTTCTTTATCTTTTATTGATCTTTTATTTGTCCTTTGATTTTGGGCAATTTTTGCAAATGTTCAGTGGATCAATATTACATTTCTTTTTTTGTGTGTGTGTTTGTATAGATGTATAAGTGATTTTAATCTGATGCTTTACGATCGGTATATTAAAAGGTGAATGTTGAATCTTAATTTAATATCAAAAGTGTTCGGCTATATGTTAGGAACTCAGTCCAGTACAGGATCATGTGATCAGGACGGGCTGGACTGGTTCAACCAGAAACTCAAACGTATGTGGAGTGGAAGACGTGCTCTCGTTCTCTCAGGAATTGCTGTTGTCCACATTAAATCGGCTTGTGATTTT